TTTCCTTCTTGATGTGGAAAATGGATCATTGGTTTGAGGGGTCTGCTTGGTATTTTGGCTGTGGGTTTTCTTATTTGTTGGTTGCCAACGGGTTCTTGTGTGTTGATGGTTGGGAGATGTTGATTTATACATGGGTTTGAACTTTGGTTTGGGAGCAGGTTGGTTCCTTCTTGTGGGAACATTTGGGGAGTGGATTAGCTTTCTTGTATTTTGTTGATGGTTTTTGAAGGGTAAACTTTGAGTGAGTCTGGTGGGGGATACATAGCCGAGACCTCTTCTCTTCCTATTTAGAATAACTTTAGCAGTAGGATTACAATTCTTACTTTCCATACTAAAGTTATTCATTTTATTTTTCAGCTCTTTGTTCTCTTCCTCTAAGACATTATTTTTGGTTAAGGCATTTAACAGTTTAGCATGAATAACCTTTATGTCTTGTTTTAGTCTATCATTTTCTGATCTTAAGAGAACATGGTGATTTTGGACCTTTTGGAAATCTTGCAACAAAGATTCTAGTGTGATATTGTTTGGTCCAGAATCACTAGAGCTATAGGAAGAGCAGGAAGTTACCTCAACATCATTGAAGTGGTCCTTGGCCATTAGACATTTGGGAGAGCAGCTTTCATTATTTTCACTTGAGCTGGTGGAAGGTTCACTGAGCCACCTGCTGTTCTCTCCAGCGAGCCAACTGCTGTTTTCTTCAGTCACCTGCCAGGATCCTAGGCATAGAAGTGCTTCCTCTGAGCTTTCTGATGAAGAGCTTTCATCACTTGAGCTGCTTTCATCTTCAGATTGGGGTTCCTCCTTTTTCTTTTCACTTACAAAGGCTTGACGTTTGCCTTTGTAGTCCTTGTGTCCATTCTTTTGAGTAGTAGTATGCTGCCCTTGATACTTGTGTGCCAATGGAAGAGGACACTCGTTTTTGTAGTGTCCTGGCTGTCTACAATTGTAACATAGAATAGTGTTCTCACCTGATTGGAATCTCCCTTGCTTTTTGACTAAATTGTTGAATGGCTTCTTTGTGGCAGATCCTTCCTTCTTCATAAATCTTTTGAATTTTCTCACAAACATTGCAAATTGCTCATCAGTGAGAGGATTATTGAGTGATTTCTCAGTAGATCTTGATGAGCTGGGTTCAGACACTAAAGCTAATGTCTTTATTTCTTCTTCCTTCTCTTCTCTGATTTCCTTCATCTCAAATTCATAAGCCTTGAGATCACTGAAAAGCTTGTCAGTTGACAGGGATCTCAGATCTCTGCTGTCTCTCATAGCTGTAACCTTCATATCCCACTTTGATGGCAGACCTCTCAAAACTTTGAGAGAAGTTTCCTTTTGGGAGAGAACTTTCCCTAGGTCTGAGACCTCTGCTATGATTTTCAAGAATCTAGATTCCATCTCATGAATAGATTCATTTGGCAGCATTTTGAAATCTTCAAATTTCTTGTGGGCAATGGTCAGTTTGTTGTCCTTTTCTTGCTCATCTCCTGCTCCTATTCTGGTTAGTTCATCCCAGACATCTTTGGCAGTTTCACATTTCCTTATTCTAGGAAATATGGACTCATCTACTGCTTTGAAGAGAATATCTCTTGCAACATTGTCAAGATTGTTCCTCTTCCTATCTTCAGTTGTCCATTCCATTTTTGGTTTAGGAATGTATATATCATCAGTTCCTTCTGTGGTTCTGGATGTGATGACCTTCATAATTTTGATAGGTCCATCAGTGATCACTTCCAGCATTTCATCATGCAAAGCACTGAGATGTGCTTTCATCCTAATTTTCCAGTCATCAAACTTGTCTAAATTGAACAAGAGATTTTTGGAAAGTTGATTGTCCATGTCTAGAGAGTTTTGGAAGACAAGTGGATTTGGATTTTTAGTTCAAAAGTAGTCAGAAATTGACTCTAAGAACACACTTCTCTGATACCACTTGATGGTCCCGGATAGAGGTAAAAGTCTAGAGGGGGGGTGAATTGACTTTTATAGCTTTTTCGTTTTTAAGAACTTTTCCCTTCTAGATGAGTTGATCTATAATCTTTTGGGAGATTAATAGATGCACAGCGGAAGTCTTTAACCTCTAGAAACTCAGTTTAAGATAACTTTCTAGTCTGGGTGATGTTTAGACTAATTATGGAAGGGCAGTAGACTTGGCAGTTGGATGATGGGTAGGCGACTGCTGAGGCAACTGCTGAGTTGGCAGTTAGCTGAAATGCAGGAGACTGCTGAGGCAACTGCTGAGAAAATATTGGGTGTTTGAAGAAGGTGATGATGAAATGTTGCTAAGAATAGTGAGGGCTTTTTGAAAATGTGCTTTAGTATAAGTAATCAGAAGTTTTACTGGAGCAGTGGTCTCAGCAGTTGATTGGTGATGAGGGCACTGCTGAGGTGCCTGCTTGGTTTAGAGGATGAACTTCACAGAGCAGTTTGGTCAACTTCCTCGTTGGTAATGTTATGAAGGTCTGGTGATATTGAGATGTTTAAGAAAAACAAGTGTTTGTGAGCAGAGAGCTCAGCAGTTGGTTGGACACCAGGTGACTGCTGAGGCACCTGCTATACTTGAGAATGAATTTCAGGATAATGACCTGATAAGCCTTTTAGTGATATTTATGCATATTTCTAGTGTGAAAAAGGTCTCAAAGAAAGTAAGTAATTAAGCAGTAGGATAAGCAGTTGGGTCTGTTAAGGCAACTGCTTAGGATGCTGCTGGCAAACTCCAATCTTTTTGTGAGAAGTGTTGGTTGTGTGCTTTGTTAACTAACATAAAATCAACACACGATGTATCCTGGTTCAGAGGTGGTGTAATCCTCCTACATCCAGTCCCACCCTCTTTCAGATGGATTTCACTAAAGTATTAATCCCAATACACTTAGTGTCAATCCAGCCTTTACAACACTTAGGCCTAGATTGAAGGTTTTTCACAATGAGTATAGCACCACTCAAGGTTACTCAGTCCTTAGACTTTTCTCTATTGAACCAGTGGGGTTCAAAAGGTACTCTTTTCTATCTAACTGCACTTTAGGATCTGAACAACTGTTCTCCTAAGTGTTTACAACAACTTGTGATTGCAAGAAAGTTCTAACCTCCAACTATGAACTAAGCTCTTTAAATATGACAGTTGTTAATCTAATCTTAGAGCTTAGTGAAGCATGAGTCTAAGCAGAGAGCAAAGTTAAATTGGCACTTTCTCTTTTGCTTGATAGCTCGTGAATACTTAGAGTGATTACTCTACTTAGAAGACTCAAAAACTTGGTTTTAGAACTTATGCCTATGCCTTCTTTTATAGGCTTCTCCAGTAGGTTGATCTCCTCCGTTGGTTGAGAGGATTCAATCCTATTCGCAGAATGAGGTGTACTTTTGTTCTCTTGTGATGGAGCTGATAATGGAAATTTCCTTTGTCTTCACTGATTAGTAGCTAGAAGATCAAGTCAAGGATCAATCTTCACGATTTGGTGTGTGCGACCCATCTTCTTTGGTTTTCGTACTTTTGAGCATTTAATGCTCTTCTTGTCTTTGTCTTCAATCATACACATGCAGTGTATGTGTGTGTGTTTGTGCCGTGTTCTATTGTACCAAATGAATTTGTACTGGTAGGATCAAAGTTTCCTTCTAAGGTAAACAAACTTTACCTTATTGTAATTTTTAGTTTCCAGTAAAATTTATTTGGTACAGAATTTAGTTTGTCATTTCTTGATCAGCTGATTATGTGACTTGATAATTTTATGTACTAAATAAATTTATACTGGTGGGATCTGAATATCCTTTTTAAGGTAAAAATTTACCTTATTGCATTTTAATTTTCCAGTAAAAATTTTATTTAGTACAAAAATTGTACATTTTAATTTAGTCACAGTTTGAGAACTTGATCAATTTTTAATTTAGTAAGAACACATGGCATAATGACTTTTAGTATAGTGGCATCATCAAAATCTTATCAAAATTGGGTACTAACATACATTTAACTAATGGAAAACTCAAATAAGAAAGTCAATCTTTTTTCTTTTATATTTATTTTAGTAAAAGATAAAGGTAAGAAATTAAACTAAAAATCATTTTGGACCTTGTATATTTAATCTTGTGTGAGATTTTTTGTGTACAAGATACAATTGGTTTTAAATGCACAGTTACATATTGGTCGAACATTATGTTATATTGTTATGGTCCGGATTGCAATTTGTAGTACTTACGTATATTACTAAACTAAAAGTCGTTATTAGTGTATCCTTTTATTATAGGGACTAGATTGCAATTTAAGTTAAACATTAACGATGCTAATTGCTAAACTCTTATCTACACCACGTGGAGGGTTGCACCGGAACATACCATATTGTGAAGGCACCGTAAAATTTTCCTAAAAAGATTTCTGAATTTATCAGTATAAAATATAGACGGCAAAATGGCAAATCAGAGAGTACAGATTTGAAAATTTTAATATAGAATGTTGGAAAATATTTCATTTAAATGCCCTTGGACCATTTATATAATTTAATAAATATTGGGGACATTTATGTCTCACCATTAAGTTTGCCATATGACAGATTTGGTCTCTTTATTTATGTATAGTTAACATATGATGAGTATGTTTTAACATTAAATAATACATAGGAAAAATTGAAAATAATAATCCCAACTATTGTCGGTCCGCTGACAATAATCCCAACTATTGATTATTTTTGTATAATCCCAACTATATACACTGTCCGCCAATAATGGTCCGTGACTAGATATTACCTCTATAAAAAGTGAATTTTAAATAGAAATTAAGCGTAAAAATTAAAAGTTGAGATTATTTATAGGGATTACTTGCAATATCTCATCTCATCCACTTTAGAAACTACAAGAATTTATTCATAGGGACCATTATTGGCGGAAGGTCCCTAAAGTTGGGATTATTCAGGAATAATCAATAGTTGGGATTATTATGAGCGGACCGCCAATAGTTGGGATTATTACAATCAATTTTTCCTAATATATAAGGGGCCAATTGGGTTTCTCTTTGATGCAAGATAAAAAACAGTCTCTTCCCAAAGGGTGCGTTTCATTCTTAGGACTATAACAGACGAACACGTCTCTTCCCAAAGGTCTCAAGAACACCTATATTAGGAGACCCAAGGAAGATCGTTTAATCCATCAAAATCCGCTTGTATCCTTAGAGAATCTAACGTCATGGCTTCATCATCTTCTACGGCACCATCAACGTTCGGTTTCTCCTCAACCGGTTAGTGTTCTTATGTGCTTAATTCTTTGAATTTTATCATATTTGTGAGATTAGATCCTTAATTGGGACTGATTATTCAACATTTGGTGTCCGAGCCCCGTTAATTCTCACTTGGTAAAATTGGAAGTTTACGATATGCCTAAATTATACGGAGTATATTGTTTTTTGCCGATTATATTTTCTGATCAAAACCATTTTCCGGATTCTGGTTTCCATCGTGTTTCTTCTTGATTTTGAACTGAGTGTTTTAAGTTTAAATAAATTCTTTGTTATGTGTTGCTATCTCCAAAACCGAGAATGTCATTATGGTGTTTTTATATAAAAGGTGCCGTCACCACTAATGCTGTAATGATTCACATATGAATTATATGATTTTGTTTAAACACATAAAATTGATGTCTCTGCTAATTTCCGTATGAATAACTGTATAAGTAGATTAAGTGCAGACAATCTGTTTTCTAGAATTGGAAAGTATGGAACATTTAGATACTGTACATTACATCCAGTTCTGTGTGAAGTAAATTATCTTCATAAATGTTCTAGACAAATGGCCATTAGAAATTCATGTGAAATGGATTAATTGAATCATTTGCATTTTGACAAGTGTTGTCACTTATTATGCTACGGCTGTGTTGATTCCTTAGTATAAGTGCATTCACAACCAATAACATGTATTCATATATAATGTTTTATTCTTCATTCTAAATTAAGTTTTGGTATGAATCGTCTTGTCTACACTTTGGTTGATGAAGATAAAGTAAAAGTATTTGAATTTTCCAGAATGTATGAACATGTATATAACTTTATTTGTTTGTTTTTGTTGTTTACGATCATCAACAATAAAACACAAATGATGCACCAGTTTGTTTGTTTTTGGACCTAAATAATGTTTTCCAGAACATTATTATCATTCCAAACGCAGTTCATATATGAATTATGGATTACTAATGATCTTAGTGTCAAGTTCAATGATCGGCTCAACGGAAGATTATTGATTTTGACTATCTTAAACAATTATATGAGTTTTCTTTTAACAAACTCAAAGGTGTGTTATTTGATAACTTATGTAATGAAATTTAAGCATAAGTGAATGTGTTATATTTCTGCCCAAAGGTGATATATGACATATTTGAAGCCTAATTTTAATTTTAATATCATAATGTTTGATAGTTAGCATTAGCCAACGCAATGTTAGTTATTAAACGTGATATGAATTTTTCCTATTATTTGGTGTTGATAATAGGCTTATTTACTAAAAATTGACATGCCATATTGTATTCCCTTACATGTAATAAATAGCTTCTGTTATTGCCTCTCTTAAAACTTTTATTTCACCATCTACTTTTACCCCGTACAATTATGGGATAGAACCTCTAAATGGTACAAACTTTTCAACATGGAGAGAATCTATAAAACTCTCACTAGGCATGATGGACCTCGACCAAGCATTGAGAATGGATCCACCAGGTGCTCCTAATGATGAAAGCACTGTAGAACAGAAGCGTTCTTATGAATAGTGGGAGAGGTCCAACCGAATGTGCCTCATGGTGATTAAGAATTCCATATCTGTAGCTATTCGCGGAGCCATTCCCGACTCTGAAAATGCGAAGACCTACCTAGAATATGTGGAAGAACACTTTAAGGGCACATCTAAAGCACATGCTAGTACCTTGATTCTAAAAATGTTGACTAATAAGTACGATGGAGTGAGTGGTATTCGTGAGCACATCATGAAAATGTCTGATATGTCCAACAAGCTCAAAAGTATGGACATGGAGATCAGTGAAAGCTTTCTCGTTCATTTCATAATGACTTCTCTACCTGCGTCTTATGGTCCGTTCAAGATCAATTACAACACGCAGAAAGAGAAGTGGACCATGAGTGAGTTAATTGCTATGTGCGTTCAAGAAGAAGAGCGCCTAAAAGTTGAAAAACCAGATATTGCTCATCTTACCATCACAAACTCAAGAAAAAGGAAAGGCAACCGTCAAGGAGGAGGAAAAGGTAGCACTTCTAAGATCCCAAAGATAGGTGCAAGAGTGAACTCCGGTCCCTACTGTAAGTTTTGCCGTGTCAAAGGGCATTACCAGAGGGAGTGCTCTAAGTTTAAGGCATGGCTGACTAAGAAAGGTAACTTAACCACGTATGTAATTTATGAGTCATTGAACACATCAGTTTCACTTAATACTTGGTGGATTGACTCTGGTTCAATGGTTCATGTTTCAAATACACTGCAGGGATTCCATTCAATCCGGACATTGGGAAGAAAGTAAAGAGTGATTAAGGTGGGAAACGGAGAAGAATTAGAAGTGGAGGCCATTGGAACTATCTCATTAATTTTAGAGAATGGCTTCATTCTTCATCTTCGTGATGCTCTTTATGTACTTAATATTACTCGTAATTTGGTGTCTATATCGAAACTAAGTGCTGATGGTTTTACATTTAATTTCGTATACAATAAAGTGACAATAAGCTTGAACTCAAATGTAATAGGATTTGGTAGCATGGAGGGAAACCTCTATAAGTTATGCTTGGACACTAATTTATGGAATCCCCATTGTCATTTAATATAACTGAAAATCCTTGCAAGAGAAAAAGAGAATTGGAATCGTCGTCCAATTTGTGGCATCAAAGGTTGGGCCACATATCACGAGATCGAATGATAAGACTCATGAAAGAGGCATTCTTCCAAGTCTTGACTTCTCGGATTATGACAAATGTGTGAAGTGTTTGAAAGGGAAATTATCTAAGAAAACTAAGAAAGGCGCCACACGAAGCACCGGTTTGTTAGAATTAATACACACCGATATTTGTGGCCCTTTTCCCGATTCCATTAGTGGTCATAACTCCTTTATTACTTTCATAGATGATTAATCACGCTATATGTACCTATATTTGATTAGGGGAAAATCCGAATCACTAGATATGTTCAAGGCTTATAAAGCTGAAGTTGAAAATCAACTTGATCGAAAGATCAAAGTAGTGAGATCGGATAGGGGTGGAGAGTTCTATGGTCGACACACTGATATTGGTCAAGCTCCCGGCACTTTCCATGAATTTTGTAAAGATCACGGGATCATCAACCAATTCAATATACCATGCCCGGCACCCCTCAACAAAATGGGGTTGCCGAAAGGCGGAATAGGACTCTTATGGATATGGTTTGAAGTATGTTGGCTAAGTCAAATCTTCCCCAATTTTTATGGACCGAGGCCCTTAAAACAGCAACCCACATATTGAATAGAGTACCATCTAAATCTGTTCCTAAAACTCCATATGAGTTATTGACGGGAAGGAAACCTAGTCTACGGTACATAAAAGTGTGGGGTTGTCCGGCTGAAGCAAAAGTGTATAATCTTCAATTGAAGAAACTTGTCATGAGAACTATTAGTTGTTCCTTTATTGGTTATCCCGAGAGATCTAAGGGATACAGGTTCTATTGCCCATCTCATACTACCCGGATTGTCGAGACCCGACATGCTGAATTCCTTGAGAATACTAACATTAGTGGGAGTAGTAATGGTTCAAGCATTAATGATGAACTTCAAGAAAGTGCTGGAATGAATCCACTTATTATACTGCCCATTCCACCTAACTCTTCACTTGAAGATCATAATGAAATTCATACGCCTCAGAATAATGATGCAACAAGTCAAGAGGCGAATAAAACTCCAATAAATGTTGAACCAACTCCACCTGTTTCTAATGAAATTCCAGAAAATCAGCAATCCCTAAGGAGATCTCAAAGGGTGAGACGCCCCACAAATTTTGACGAATATTTGATATATTTAAATGATGAAGCCGAGTTTGATTTAGGGAAAGTCATAGATCCTATATCTTTCCATGATGCCATTAATTGTGACCAATCGATTCATTGGAAAGAAGCCATGAATGAAGAACTTCTTTCCATGGAGAAGAATAATGTTTGGGAACTTGTTGAATTACCAAAGGGTCATAAGCCCGTTGGAAGCAAGTGGGTCTTTAAAACTAAATTAGATCCAAATGGAAACATTGAAAGATACAAAGCAAGATTGGTTGCTAAGGGATACACTCAAAGGGAAGGTGTAGACTATCAAGAGACCTTTTCACCTGTCTCCAGAAAGGACTCCCTAAGGGTCGTTATGGCTTTAGTAGCTCACTTTGATCTTGAGCTACATCAAATGGACGTCAAAACAGCCTTCTTAAATGGAGATTTACACGAAGATGTTTATATGATACAACCAGAAGGTTATGTTTCTAAGGGTCAAGAACATCTAGTGTGTAAACTCAAGAAGTCTATTTATGGGCTCAAGCAAGCGTCTCGACAATGGTACCTCAAATTTGATGAAGTCATGAAATCAAATGGCTTCATTGAAAACAAAGTAGATCAATGCACTTATCTCAAAATGAGTGGGAGCAAATTCATCATACTTGTGTTATATGTTGATGACATCTTATTAGCAAGTAGTGATCTGGATTTATTGCATGAAACAAAACGCTTATTATTTGGCCATTTTGACATGAAAGATCTAGGTGAAGCTTCTTATGTTATAGGCATTGAAATTCACCGAGATCGAGTCAAAGGGACGTTAGGTTTGTCCCAAAAGGCATACATTGAGCGTATTTTAGAACGTTTTAACATGCAACAATGCTCTCCATCAGTTGCTCTAATAGTTAAAGGAGACGTTTTTGGGTCATTCCAATGCCCAAAAACCGAGGTTGAGAAAGAGAAAATGAAACTCATTCCTTATGCTTCTGTAGTTGGAAGCCTGATGTATGCTCAAGTTTGTACTCGTCCAGATATCGCATATGTATCCGGCATGTTGGGTAGATATCAATCTAACCCAGGATTAGATCATTGGAAAGCCGCTAAGAAAGTTTTGCGGTATCTTCAAGGGACTAAGGAGTACAAACTTACTTACCAGAGGTCTAATAATTTAGAAGTGGTGGGATATTCCGATTCTGACTTTGCTAAGTGCAAAGACGACAGGAAATCTACTTCGGGATACATTTTCTTGCTGTCAGGTGGGCCAATATCTTGGAAAAGCCACAAGCAAAGACTTATGACTACTTCAACAATGATGGCCGAATATGTTGCGGTGTACAACGCAACGTGTCATGGGATGTTGTTAAGGAATCTTATCAAAGGATTCAAAGTAGTGAATTCCGTCTCAAGACCACTAAGGATTTATTGTGACAATTCTGTGGCCGTGAGCTTCTCAAACAATAACAGTTCTAGTGGAGCGGGATTGTTCCTCGATACAAAGTATTTGTTCGTTCGAGAAAGAGTGGAGGAAAATGAAATTTGTATCGAACACATCAGCACAAATGATATGCTAGCAGATCCTCTCACCAAAGGACTTTCGCCCAATATTATTCAAAGACATGTCACTAATATGGGCTTGATCAAAGATCCCGTTTAGGAAATTATAGCACAGTGCCAGATCAAATATCTTATATAATAATTTCAAGTACTTGATTTAGAATTCCTTCCGAAGTATGTATTGTCTATTCTTCATTGTGCACACAAAGTTATTTAATAGACAAACATGATACCCTAAGTTTAATGTCATTTGGCTTATAATCCTTATGCTTTTTAAGAAGTGTCAAAGTATGATTAATGGGGGTCCCGGGTTATATTGACTTGTCAGACTGTATTTGTTTGCTTTGATATTATTATGGAGTAAGATGAATTTTTCTTGGCCAAAACTTACTTTAACTTATGTATAAATGATCTCAAGGTCAAGTGGGAGAATGTTGGAAAATATTCCATTTAAATGCCCTTGGACCATTTATATAATTTAATAAATATTGGGGACATTTATGTCTCACCATTAAGTTTGCCATATGACAGATTTGGTCTCTTTATTTATGTATAGTTAACATATGATGAGTATGTTTTAACATTAAATAATACATAAGGGGCCAATTGGGTTTCTCTTTGATACAAGATAAAAAACAGTCGTACGTTTCATTCTTACGACTATAACGGCCGGACACGTCTCTTCCCAAAGGTCTCAAGAACACCTATATTAGGAGACCCAAGGAAGATCGTTTAATCCATCAAAATCCGCTTGTATCCTTAGAGAATCTAACATCATGGCTTCATCATCTTCTACGGCACCATCAACGTTCGGTTTCTCCTCAACCGGTTAGTGTTCTTATGAGCTTAATTCTTTGAATTTTATCATATTTGTGAGATTAGATCCTTAATTGGGACTCATTATTCAACATAGAAGACCTCATGCCGCCACTCCTCTTCATTAGTTTTGCTTAAATATGCAACATATCGAGTTTTTAGACTAATCTGTATCATTAAAAAAAAGTAAGTCTATTATTCACTATTTACATTTTAAAATATCTTTATTATGCATCTTATTTAAAGTATAGGGTGCAGTTTTAATGAGAAAAATGTTTAAAGTCAAAATGTGAGAACCCACACATTTAACCCAATCAAAACCAATATTAACTAATCATGATCACATTTTGGTAACTATTATATTTAACACGAAAAATGTAATGAATGTGTTGGAGGTATTGGTCCTACCAAGGCCTCCCTTCCACTTATTATGTTAAGGCCTGCACCCTATGTTTATTCCTACTTCCTACACTGTTACTTATCTAGCTAGCCTGGCTTTTCCTATCCGTTGCCAACTCTTATTGACTTGGTATTATTTGTCTCTTGGCCTCCTGACTTTTGCTAGCCTGTCTCGAGCCCCACCTTTGTTTGTCTTTGACACCCATGAGCAAATAATAGCCTACTATAATTGAGTGCTCCTCTTCCCTTTTTGAGAGATACGGTGAGTTCAATACAGTGAGCTCCTCTTCCTTCCTTTGTGTGGAGTTAGAGTGTGAGGGAGTGGTAAACAAGGTGAGTGGAGTGGCTAAACAATCCTGGGGTGGTGTGTGTGAGTTGTTTTGGTTGGAGACCTGAGCTGAAATACACACCCAATAGTGGTATCAGAGCTAGGGTTGCTGTCGCCGTCGAGTTCGCCGGATTCCGCCGTCTACCACCGCCAGCCGCCGTCCACCGCCGTCGGCCGCCGTCCACCGCCGTCGGCCGCCGTCCACCGCCGATTCAAGGTCTGGGAAGTCGTGACCGTCGATTCAACGTCCATGGAGGTGTCCTGGAGCATCGCCGCTGCCTGAACCTCCACTTGCCGTCGCAGGTACATAGCTCGCCCAAAGTCGCCGGGCTTGAGCTGGATCTGGACGGGAGCTACCGAAGCTGGAGCTTGAAGCTATCTCCCTGGACGCTGCTACAAAAATCGCTGGAGCAGAGGAAGACTCCTGGACGAAGCTGGTGGGGAAATAGGAGCCCATCCCGTTCGTAGAGCTGAATCCGCCATTGACGCTGGAAGCTAGCCGCATCAGAAATTTGCTCGCCGGAATCAGCCACCGAAGTCGCCGGTCGCTTGGGTGCTCGTCGGTCGTCACAGGTTGCGGTCGCAGTGAAGAGCATCGGTCGTCGTTTGGTTTGCCTTCTAGAGCCGCCGCCTGGGAGCTGTCCATTTTCCGTTCGTCGTTGGTCCATAAGAGCTGCCGCCTGGGAGCTCGTTCATGGAACTCAAGTCTGGAGCGGAGCAAGACAATCCAATCGCGTAATAAAAACGCGGAGTTCTAGAGTGGAGCTGGTTTTTTTAGGCTGGAGGTGTTTTCTTTGTTTGGGCTGGCCTACTGGGCTACTGCTGCATTTGGACTAGACTTGAACTCACTTTGTGCTGGAGCAGAACGTGCAGGAGCACAGGAGGTAGAAGTTGCGAAGGACTTCATGCAGGATCTCTTGGTGAAATTGGTCAAAATCGGCCAACACAAGTCAACAGTCCAAAAAATCCCAAATTTAATTGGGTGGGTAAGGTCGAAACGCCTCTCCTAGGGTTTCGCTCCGGTATATTTACTTTTATCCCTTTTATCGCTTTTGTAGTGATTTTAATCTTTTATTGTGTAGAAATCTGTTGTAGGTTTATTACTGCTTTTAAAATTGTTTGAATTGTTGTGTTGTTTTGTGCTGAAAATTTATTATTTATTTGTGCTTATACGGAAGAACAAGGGGTTTGAAGTTGAGTTTGGTGCTCATTAATACTCCCCACGTGTTCGTGCTAGTTGCTCCGTATAGTTGTAGCCTTATAAATATTTAAATTGTTTTCAGCTAAATTTACATTTTATTTTGTTGCTTGTTTTTCTATGTGAAAATGTCTGCTTATAATCAGTATGGTATGGCTCCATTTAATGGAAAATCTGATTTTAGCATTTGGAAGCAAAAAATTAAATGTATTTTAATACAACAAAAATGTTTTAAAGCAGTTGGCGAAACCTATTTAATTTCTGACACGGAAGAGAAAAGGGCTGAAATGAATGAAAATGCATGTTCTGTGATTTATTTGAACTTATCTGACTCTGTGATTAGAAAAGTTGGAATTTTAGAGAGTGCTAAAATTCTGTGGGATAAATTGAATGAACTGTATACTGAGACCTCTTTGCCTAACCGGATATTTTTACTTGAGAAATTCTTCAAATTTAGACTGGATATATCTATAGATATTGAAGAAAATCTAGATGTTTTTACCAAACTTATTTCAGATATTAAGTTGTGTGGTGATAAACATATAGATGATTATTCCCCTATTGCTCTTTTAAATGCTATTCCTGATTCCTTTAGTGATGTGAAATCTGCTATTAAGTATGGTAGAGATAATGTGACTCTTGACATTGTGATAAATGGTCTTAAGAGTAAGGAATTAGATTTAAAACAAATGGGTGAGGGTAGAAAATCCGAGGAAGTTATGCATGTGAGGGGTAGAGAAAATAATAGTAGACGACATAGATCTAAGTCTAGGTCTAATTCGAGGCGTTGCTATTATTGTCACAAATCTGGTCATTTCATAAGAGACTGTCCTAAATCTAAGAAAAATGAGCATAGTGAGCATGCTAATTTGACTACGTGTGAAGATGATTTAGGTGATGTGCTTATGATGAGAAATCTATGTGATTATGACTATTTGAGTTCTGTGATATCTGATTCTTTGGGTAAATCAGATTGGGTGGTAGATTCTGGTTGTAGTTTTCACATGTCCCCTTTGAAAAATGTTTTTTCAAACTATAGAGAGATTGAGCATGGCTTTGTGTCTTTAGCAAATGAGAAGAAATGCAATGTGCTAGGAATAGGAGATGTATGTCTTAGGTTTTCTTCTGGTTATGTGCTTACTTTGAAGAATGTTAGGCATGTTCCTGAGCTGTGTTGTAATTTGCTATCTTGTGCTTCTCTTGAAAATGTGGGTTTGAAGGGAAAATGGGGAAAGGGAATCATGAAAGTTGTTAAGGGTTGTTTAGTTGTTTTTAAAGCTGAGATGAAGAACAACTTGTATGTTTGTCATGCTGAACCCGTACTTGATTCTATGAATTGTGTGCAACCCTGTGTGCTAGGAAAACAGTCTAGAGTTGGTTTTCCTGATCTGCCTAAGTGTACTAATGTGCTTGATTGTATTCATGCTGACGTGTGGGGTCCTTACAGTGTTTCCACTCATGGTGGGAAAAATTATTTTCTGACGTTGATTGATGATTTTTCAAAGAAAGTGTGGGTTTTGTTGATTGAAAATAAATCTGAAGTTTTTGATAAGTTTAAAAACTGGAAAACCCTTGTTGAAAAACAAACCGGTAAGAAAATTAATTTTTTAAGGACCACTGTCAGTTTTGATTTCTGTGATAGTCAGCTTGGTGATTTATGTGATACTTGGGGTATTTCTATGCATAAATCTGTTCCCTCCACACCCCAACCGGATGGGGTTGCTGAGAGGATGGTTAGAACTTTATTAGAGAGGGTGAGGGCTATGTTAGCTTCATCTGGGCTCTCTAATAAGTTCTGGGGGGAAGCTATTTGTTATGCTGTTGATTTGATTAATTTGTCCCCGTCTGTTCCCTTAGGAGGGAAATGCCCTGAATCTGTGTTCATGGGCAAACCACTTAACTTGCCAAATTTGAGAGTATTTGGTTGTGCTGCTTATGTGAATCGTGAGAATGATAAATCTGAACCTAGGACTAAGGAATATGTTTTCTTAGGATATCATGATTGCATGAAAGGTTATAGGCTTTGGTGTAGGAGTGAAACTTGCTTCAATGTGTTGATGAGTAGAAATGTCATTTTTGTTGAAAATGAATTTCCTTGCCTACTTGTTTCTCCTGATGTTGCTCCAAATGAGGTGGAGCTTTTGCCTGTTGAAGTTCATTCCGATTTACGTGTTGAAACCAAACCCAAATTTGTGGATGAAAATGTTTTTCATGGTGAAAATAAAGAAAATAATATTTCTATTAAGGTGGAGCATGATATGAATGTTGTGTGCGATATGCTTGAGTTGCGTAATTGCCATGTTATTAGAGATAGAGACATTAGGAAGCATGAGAGAAATAATATGTGCAATGTGTTTGACTATATTTCCTCTGAGTCTGCTTTAAATGTGCTTAATTCTCTTTTAATTAAAATCTTTGTGATATTTGGTATGCTATTTTCTGTGTGTTTTGAAAATGTGATACCAAGTGATTATGTGAGCTCCGTCTGTGCTAGTTATAGAAATAATATTGTTTCTTTTATTTTCTTTGTAATTGCTTTGTGTGGTTGTTGGATTAGTTGGAATCCCCAACTTCTCCCGGATGCTTGCTTGCGTGGTCTATTAACATGTGTTGTGCTTGTTAATAGTTTTGTGATGGTTTTGGTTCTGAACTCGAGGACCGATTGGTAGAGTTCAGTCCATCGTGAAGTGGGTTTGCACGGTAAGCTTGGTCCGAAAGGGAACTTTGGTTCTCATCTATTACTTGTATGATCGCAATGATGTACTTGTAATGGTTCAGCGATGATGAGTCTCCTCACAACCGTGTATTTGTTACTCTACACCACCTAGGACCAATAAGGTGGAGAATGTTGGAGGTATTGGTCCTACCAAGGCCTCCCTTCCACTTATTATGTTAAGGCCTGCACCCTATGTTTATTCCTACTTCCTACACTGTTACTTATCTAGCTAGCCTGGCTTTTCCTATCCGTTGCCAACTCTTATTGACTTGGTATTATTTGTCTCTTGGCCTCCTGACTTTTGCTAGCCTGTCTCGAGCCCCACCTTTGTTTGTCTTTGACACCCATGAGCAAATAATAGCCTACTATAATTGAGTGCTCCTCTTCCCTTTTTGAGAGATACGGTGAGTTCAATACAGTGAGCTCCTCTTCCTTCCTTTGTGTGGAGTTAGAGTGTGAGGGAGTGGTAAACAAGGTGAGTGGAGTGGCTAAACAATCCTGGGGTGGTGTGTGTGAGTTGTTTTGGTTGGAGACCTGAGCTGAAATACACACCCAATAGAATGAGCCTCATTGTGCATCATATTCGGTTCAATGTAGTGGTTCTCGCGTTAAGCATTGTTCCATACTGAAATCGCCGTGCAAAATCCGCTGCTTGAGATGGTTCCCGGTGAAATTGTTTGATGAAACTTTGTAAGCATGTTCTTCATGAAATTTAGATTATGTCCACAAAATTACAGCTTAAAATTCAATCGAAAAATCAATTAAATAAATTATTGAAAAAAATCACTTTTATATAAAAAATAATTATATAAAATTACTCTGTAACATTTAAAGATTGTGACACTTAAGTACTCCCCTCAGTCTCATTTCATTTGTCTTATTTTCCATTTAAATTGTTCCAAAATAAGTGTCATATTTCATTTTTTGAAAAGAAATATGTGCTCAAAATTTTTCACTTTATTCAACTCAAATTTCACTACAGCTTTTACTTTTTCAATCTAACTATTAATAATTGTGTCAAACAAAAGAACACAAAAACTGCCGGCTTGGTAAGCCTTTTTTCGGCTTATCAACCTTATCAACCAATTTTTCGCTAAACACGTAACATTTGATTTTGCGTGCTGAGTTATGTAATAATAGGAGAAAGTAAGTTTGACTATCCTGACTGGTTTGGTTGAAGTTACTATAGATGATTATTTTAGCTATTTTATATAATTTTTTCTTTACTTTATTGATAAAATATATTTAAATTGTATTCTAATTTTTTAATAATTCAATAGAATCGGTCAATTTATTCGTTTCAGTCAAAACTTCATAAATTTCAGCAAAATCGACTGATGCAGTCAATTTCAGTGGTGTGAAATGAGCTCAATTAGAGACTTGAAAACGCAAAACAAGACTCTTTAAAGAGATGCAGGACCAGAGTTTGATTTGTTTAGTAACTCTCGTTTGTATTCGTGCAAAACATTTGGACATAAAATGAAGGGAAAACTGTCAAATAGATTCTCGAACTTTCATAAAAAAAAATCAATTAAGTCCTTATTTAGGAAGCTCTGTTCGGCCGTCGTGATTTGGGGCGGTTCCCAGTGGAATTTTATGATGAAATGTTTTGAGCATCTTATTTATCAAGTCTAGTTTACTCATACCAAATTTGAACTAAAACTTCAATAGCAAACACATTCAAATTTATTCTTGAAGATGACTGCTCATTTAACTCCACAGTTATCTTCAAGAATTAATTTAAATGCGTTCCCGATTGAAGTTTTAACTGAAATTTGGTATGAGTAAACTAGACTTGATGAATAAGATGCTCAAAAAATTTCATCAAAAAATTCACCGGGGGCCATCCCAAATCGCGAAGGCCGGACAAAGCCTTCTAAATAAGGACTTAATTGACTTTTTTATGAAAGTTCGAAAACCTATTTGACAGTTCGATGACTTAATTGACTTTTTTATGAATATGGGACATCGGACGTATCAAAATATTATACTCCGTATTATGTACCGTTTTTCAATAGAAAGAATTCCTCACTCCAAAAGCTAAAGTCGCAACATGTATATCCGTACAAAAACATTTGTTATCTATCTAAGGTGTTTGGATTTGATTCTTAAAACTGGGAGCAAAAGCAGAAGTTAGAGTGTTTGGATGAAAATGCAAAAGTGATTCTGGTGCTCTAATTTACTCATAGAATCAGCTTTTTTAGAAGTTGTGGGAGACCAGCTTCTGAAAACTGATTCTGATCAGAATCGGCTCCAAACACCCCTTAAGTTATAATATGGGTGGGTCAGAGAACGTATTGAAGTACAGAAATTATCTTAAATAGGAGTAAAAACGTTTTGAAATTCCAAAATAGGGCTGTCATTTTTTTGTTCCCTGAATAGGAGTAATCTGTCAAGTTTGACCAAAAAATGCCATGTTTAAAGCCTAGTAATTCCAAACTCGGCAGAAATTTATTCCTATTCAGGCAGTAAAAACATGATAGTCCTATTTTAAAATTTCAAAACATTTTTACTCCTATTTAAGAATTCTCTCATCCAAGTATTAGACCATTTTTCTTTAGAAAGAATGCGTCACTCTAAGGCTCTGTTTGCAACCACTTGTGCTTAAATAAAAGCATTTTTTGGAAAAAAATGATTAGTAGTAAAAGTTGGTAGTGTTTGATAAAATAAGTTCTTTTTGTGTAATAGAAAAAGTAAAAAGTAGATTTTACATGAAAACTGAAGAAGTAAAAGTTGATAGTGTTTGGTAAAATAAGTGTTTTTTTCTTAAAAAAATCAAAATCACTTTTTTTTTAATTCATTGCAAACAAGCCCTAAAAGTTAAATTCGCACGATAAAAGTTGTTCCCGATTCCAAATGGCAATCAGTGGCCCAGTGGCCAGTGCCTAACCGAAAGAGGCTAATCATAAATTATTTTCTGTCCGCATATTAAATCAACATTTTGTCTATAAACAATCTATTCAGAAAATCACATATAAATAGATAAGTGATTCGGAAAGGACTAAATTGTTTCACCATAAAAATATGTTTCACCATAAAAATCTTTTAATCTTTTCTCAAGGTGAACCCTTTTCCAGTAGCTTTGAGATGTCAATATCTTTAGCATTCCGTAAGGAGTAAATTGATACGGGCTAAATAGAATATGAAGGAAAATGATAGATTTATTAGTTGAAGGATCAATATGATTATGGTAGTTTAGGGACCATTATTTTACTCTTTTACACATTAGAAATGTTATAACATTAGAAAATGTCATATGGACTTTATACATTTTGAAATACTTTTTTATAAACTACATTAGGAATCTAGATTGTTCTTTTAATATATACTCGTATATATTACCACTTGCAATTAAATTTTTTGATCCTTTTCTATTTGCCACTCTAGAAACTACAACATATAAATGTCCACAATAAAACACCAATTTATTTAATAAAAAATCGAGATGGGGGAAAATATCTCTTACTTTCACTTATTGTCATAACATAGAAATATAGAATATGACTAGTGTAACACCCGGGGCATGCCCCGGTAGTGTTAATTTGATATGACTGAGGTGACAGATGCTAATAAACATTGTGAGCTATTAATAGGATATCATCAAAATTTTGTCAATAATCCAATTCTTTTATTAACTAACCACCATAAATATAATTATAATTACAATTATAAGTATAATTATAATATCATTTTATTATCATTATAATTATCTTTATTTTTGTAATTACGATCATCATAATAATAAGCTTTATTAATATTATTATAATATGTAGTATTGCTATTATAATATGATTATAGATACCAACAACCGCTACACTTTATAATAATAGTCACTTATAAATACTGTTAACAATAAAAATACATTAAGAATATAATTAAATAATATTAATATCATTGACAATAACCTTAGTAATAATATATGATGCTTTATGAATAACAATAGCATACAAATAATGATTATAATAATAAGAGTAGTATTCATAATTAATTTCAATGGAAGCAACCTACAATAATAACCTACAAAAATATTTAGATCAGATCGGAATCATCATAATAGTAAAAATAATTTATGTCTTAACATTTCTGATTTGAATAGAGTGTTTCTGGTGTGATTTAAACTTTTCTGATTTAAATGTTTTGGTCTAATCTGATTGACTTTTTATCTGATCTGGTCTGAATAAAATAAGAATAAGTAATACGCAGTACGTAAACAATAAGAATAAGAATAGGAGTACCAGAATAACTTCTAAGGATATGTTTTTACGTTTTTCTCCTACTTTTTCTCAAGACTTTTCCATTAGGCATTCTATCTCCGTTACGAACTAATCAAATCTTTTAATGTGTGTCGTCTACATAATGTCAAGTGTTAGTTATTTAACATTTTTTCTCTGACTTCTTTTCACCCTTTTTCATTATAGTTGTTCCATCTCCTTTTTGTTTGGAACTAATTAAATGTGTTCATAATAATATGAAAATAGAAATTTTGTTAGCCAATAACAAAGTGACATGTCAGCAGTTTGGGGATCATGTTTTACTAAATAAAAGAATAAATTTAAATATTTAATGAAAATTGGATCCTTATATGTGTCACGACTATTGTGCAAATGTGCACTTACCATAATGCACACCTAAACTCAAATTTTACTATAGATTTGATATATAATAGATTTATAGCTCAATTTTTACAATAGTTTTTTTTTATATGTGGAATTTGGTGTCATATGAAAGATAATAATTTTTTATATTTTTTTTTTGTAAAACTTGGAGTGATGCACAGAATGAGTTGGCTGGATTAAAATGAATAGTAGTGATGCACCGAGTGAATAACAGTAATGCATTGAGTGAATAACAGTGATGCACCACGTGAACACAGATTAATTAAATGATTTAGCAAGAGTGGTAATGGAATATTTCGTAACAAATAAAAGACTCACACATCATTAATTTATAATTTAGCTTTATTATATAAAAATAATAATTATTTATTTTTATATATGCAATATTGGTGTCATATAAAAGATTATAAAACTTATGAATATTGAAACATTTTTTTATAAAAAATGGAGTAGCAAAAAATATTATCCTCCCTTTTCTTTAAATAAGTCGGCATGATTAAAGTGAATAACACTGACGCACCGAGTAAAAATAGCAGTGAAGCACTAGCCGGCCGAGTGACAATAGAATTTTTATTAACTACTAACAATCTCAAACATTACTGCATTACTGATTTATAACTCATTTTTATTATATATAAAATAGTGATTTTATTTTTATATATGCGATATTGATGATATATTTTTTGTAAAAAATGGATTATAAATATAAAAGTTATTTCACTTCGAAAAAAGAGAGATATTTTCTCCTTGGCTTCTCTTGCTCCAAATCAGCCGTGAATCGCATGATGCATCATTTGAGGGAGTTAATTAATTGTTTTAATTGTAGCGATAATAGAATTTGTATTATTCACACATCATTGATTTTTAATTCAGTTTTACTTCATAAAACTGAAATCAATAAGAGATTGATACATCACTATTTCACAACTCAAAATTTAGGATGTTTTTGATTGTGTTGTTTTCAATTTCAGATCATATCAGACCAAACTTGAACAATTATAAAATACACATATATTTGATGTTTATCAGATCAGAACTGATCAGTTTAAACCAGATTAGATCAGTCAAGAAAATTTTAAGGGAAAATTATGATTAACTCCTTCTAGTTTGATCATAATTATTAGTTCGACCTTATATTTTTAAAAGTCAACTATTTACACCCTCAGCTACGATTAATGTTGTAATCTCCCCCTTCTATCAACATTTTCATCAAATGCCTATTTCTTTGACTAAAATACCCTTGTTTAGGGATTATTTGTTAAATCCTCTCATCTCCATATTTTTTTTCAAATTAGTGGGTTCGGTCCGGTCCAGTCTAGTATCATGACTATTGAAACGGTTCGGTTTGATCTTAGACCTAAACCCGTTCAGTACGGTTCTATTTTCAATCGGGACGTTACCATATCATACTAAATATCAAACAATGTCACTTTTTCAAGTGTTTAAGTGGAAGTTAAAGTTTAGTCATCCTATAAAAATTCACATAATTTATCAATTTTCATACTTCGTACATAATATTACATAATTATTAAATTTCAGATAAACTATAGTAGTACAAATTTTACCCGGTCATGACATTGTTTAGAACCGATACAGTCTGGTTCGCAACAAAAAAAAGTTGAGATCTCTTTCAAGTCTCGTTTTTCGGTCCGGTACCATATCGGTCTGGTTTGACACCATGCCGGTTTGGTATTTTTGTCCACCCCTACTTCAAATACACAGCCGAGTGAATTTTCCTTTGATGTACGAATGGGACTGCGACTGAGAATTGAAATTGGAGCAGAAAGGAAGAAAAAAGGAAAGGCACAGAGCACTTTCAAGTGTGCTCCAATGATGCTTTGGATAACATTAATTTTTTGTTCGAGTACTTTTGGAGTAAGCCTGAAAACCTTCATTTGATGTACTCTTAGTTTATACCACTCCTTAGTTTAGTTTAATAGATAAGGACATTTTTTGGGAATTCCACTTACAATTACCGGTCCAAGCAACTTAGATTTAACAAAAGGGGATATTCTAACTTTAGTAAAAGCTTAAGGTTTAAATAATTCAGTTCTAAAAATATAAGGTTGATTTAATAATTATCACCTAACCTCAAGGGGTAATCATTATTTTCCCAAATTTTAAACATCCTCCAAAAAAAACCATCCTGATAGAAAAGATTTTTTTTAATCATTCGGTAATAAAGATTGAATAATGACGTAGCATTTTATTTCTTACGTACCTATTAATTAGCCATCAAGATTGAGCTATTTAATCGTACTTGGTTTTCCATGAATTCTACCTACTTAACCGGGGCGTGTCAATTTATTTTTACCTATTAATTAGCCATGAAAAGAGGAGATATTTAATGGTTAATTAAATGTGATGTGATTAACCGTGAAGTAAGAGTGGTTTATTTGTTTTTGTTAACCAATGAGAATATGACACATAAGCTATTTATAACTCAGTTTTACTATATAAAACAATAGATATACCCACAGTATCCGAACTGAAGTAATATACAGAGACTATCACCCACTCGTAGGTGCTAATAGCTTTCAAGATTATTCCCTATATTTTCAAAGAAAAAGAATTCTAAAAGAATTCTACATAAGCATGGGTGAAGAAATCATACAAAGCTCATGTGTATATAAACATTCATGCTTATTTATTGTGTAAATAAATGTCCACAAGGATTTATTATTTTGAAATAATTATATAAATATGACCAAAATAAAGATGATTTACAAAAATATGACTAGTTACTATAGTAGTAATAAAATCATAGTAATTCATGTTCAAGTTTTAAAGTTATCACAATATTACATTGTAATAATGAATAGTCATATTTATGTAAATAATTTTTATTTTAGTAATATTCGTTTATTTTCCACCGCACACCCGCCTTTTCTCCCCTTACCTTATTCCGTATCCTTCTCCCGATTAAATGGACTTAAATATAACGGCACCTACAACTCGTAAAAGTCTGTGTCAATCATTCAGCAAATCCCCCTTATCATGCCACTTTCTTAGCCGGTTTTTCGCTTCTTCAACCTTTGAACATAAAAATAATGTTACACACTTGCACAAAATCTCAATGTAGTTTTATTAATGCCCGAAAACGCTTGAAAACATTAGTGAAGTATTGAGCAAAATCTAAATTAGAATATTATTAAAAGTTGGACAATGTGTAGTCAGAGACCATTTCATAATACTGTTTTTCGGTTTATCAGGCTTATCAGCAAACTTTTTCACCAAACACGTAACTTTTGTTTTCACACACTGAATTGTGTAATTATAAGAAAAAGTAAGGTTGAAGTTACTTTTCTGACTGTATTGGAAGAAGTTACTATAGATGACCGATTTAGCTATTTTACATATAATTTTTTCTTTAAATTTTTTCTTAAATCAGCAAAATCAGTCAATGCAGCCACTTCAGCCATAACTTCATAAATTTGAGCAGAATCAGCCGATTTTAGTGTTATCAAACGAGCTCATAATTCAGTGAATAAAACCACACTGTTTGATACTACTAAAAGCATGCTAATCTTTTTTTGGGAGGAAGGTAGTAGGTAACAATTAACTAAAAGCAGTCTAATGTTTTTATTCTTGAGAAATGATTTTTAAATTAATAATTCATCGATCAATTAGTAATCATATATTCATATGATTCATATCATAACCTCTTTATCCCAGTTAGTGCGGAAAGTGACCCACAAAAGTATAAGGGTCTGCATGGCTGTTCCTCCAAGCATCCCCAGCCAAATTCCCTACAAAATATATTCGTACAAATAATGCCCATAAGTATTTTAATTTTTAAAACAAGTCCTAATAACTTCACTTTCTTAATTAGTTAAATTGTTCGAATTGAATTTATACCTTAGCTCCAAGTTGGAATTTGAAACCAAGGACAGCACCTACGGGAATACCGACAACATAGTAACACCCCACGTTAACGTAGGCCACAAATGCTTGCCATCCACAACCTACAGCCACCCCTACATATTCCAAGCACCAATAGACGAATTTATTTAAGTCTCTTCAATTCCTTAAATCATTATATAACTCGAAACATGAGAGTATTTATACAATACTTTATTTAAAGTATTTAATGTTGAATTAAATTTAATCAAAATGTGACATATTTATATATTGATCATAATAGAAATAATTACATAAATATTTAATAAAGATGATTTACAAAAAAATGATTCATTACTAGAGTAGTAATGAAATCATAGTAATTTATGTCCAAGTTTTGAACTTTAGTTACCACAGCACTACGTTGTAGTAATGAATAGTCATATTTACGTAAATACTCCATATTAATATTTTAGTAAGTTTTATTTTAGTAATATTCTCGTAAAAAACCCATCATAATATTACACATTTATCTTGAGACATATTGATATTTATGATTATTAAAAATCAATTTGTATGATTAAAATTTTGATAACAAGTAAAAGAGAAAGTGAAATAGTTTTTTTTCATATAAGAGAATTTGTTGTGTATTTATTCATGTATTTATACAATACTTTATGAATACTTTATGAAGAGTACTTAATATTAAATTAAAATCAAAGTGGTCTTATATTTAGGATCAAATATAATATTGTATTTGCCTTGTGTTTTTTCTATTCATAGAACATGCAAAAAATAACAGAAAGTTGACACTATTAGAGCCCGTTTGGCAACATTGAAATCAGCTCAATCGGCTGATTCTGCTGAAATTTATGAAGTTATGACTGAAGTAGCTGTATTGGCTGATTCTGCTGATTTATGAAAAAATTATATTTAAAATATATTTTATTAATGCTGTAAAGAAAAAATTATGTGAAAAATACTACGTATATAGCTAAAATGGTCATCTACTGTAACTTCAGCCAATACAGCAAAAAAAGTAACTTAAACCTTACTTTTTCTTATTATTACACAATTCAGCGCGCGAAGTCAAAAAAATTACGTGTTTGGTTAAAAAGTTGGGTGATAAGCCTTATAAGCCGAAAAATAGGATCACCAAATGGGCTCTTAATTTCCCTATCATTTTCTGAAGTTTTCTGTGAGTTTGGATTATTGTTGTCAATTTTTATAATATGATTATTTTTAACAAATTAAATGGTGAAAGTATGGATTATTAATGTCAATTTCATCTAAAAATAGTGACTTCACACAGTTATCTTGCTCGACTACGTACACTTTCAAAATAAGACCATTGGTCCATCGTATATTTTAAAAAATTTGAACTTGTTTGGTAATACTTAAAAATGAGTTATGGAGAATAAAAATAACAAATAAATAAATAATCTCACCAGAAAGAACGGGTTGAATGCCATTGAGGAGAATGGAGATGGACAAAAGAGGGGCCAGATCTGAAACTGCATCGGCAATGGTTTCACCGCCGGTGAAGACGTAGCTAAGCTTGTGGCGGAAGATGATTACCATAATCCCGATCGCCGCCGCAATTAGGAAAGAACTTAGCGTCACCACTATGACCGAAAATGAAGCCGACTTGGGATGCCCTGCCCCCAGCTCATTGCTCACTCTCACGCTGCTCCACCCAATTACCAAACATTTACTATACTTCTATTTAATTAAGAAATTAAAAATTGACAGTCTTTTAGGTAAATTCTGACACACCAAGGTACAATACCTTATTTACACCGGCCGATAGTGTAGTTGAATTATTTAAACATAAATATATGATGAAATGATTATTGGATTAATTAAATGATTAATCGGTGCACTATTCTCACTTTTTATATGTATAATAGCAATCTCCTTTCTTTTATTGACACGCTAGAAGTACATCGAGGTACCTTTTTTTATGTCACATAGATGAGGTACTTTAAAATTTGAAAAAAAAAACAATTTCTAGTTACGTTAAGTAATTTAGGTTAGAGAAAGAAACCTTGAGATCCAAATGAAGGAGACAAAGGAGTAGTTTCCTTGTAGCCTTGTAAGAGTGATTGAAGAAGGAAATAAGTTATGGAAATATGTGAGAAAAAATGAATTTTAAGGATGATTTTAATTGAATTAATATTATTTTAGTCTGAAATGATCTGGTCTAGTAGATATTTGACCTCTATGTATTTTACAATTGTCAAAATTTGGTCTGATCTGTTTAAGTCTAATCTGATCTGTTTAAATGTAGTCTAATTTGTTCTGATCTGGTCTGAAAATGAAATCAATACAATTAAAAAAATCTTAAAACATTTAATAAGTCGTTTGTTTTTGGAAATCCAAAACATTTAAGTAACAAAGGTGTCACTTTTCTATATTATAGGTTTCAGTATTTCACATTGTGTGGGTAGTTGGGAATTTTCGAGAGAAATGTTACACCATACAATGGGGTGTATGATACACAGGTGGCGGAACCAGACCTGGGTGGCGGGAAAAAATTCAAACCGCAGAGTTTGGAAAGATCTATAATTCCTACTGTTTTTTTAGTATATTTAGGATAATTTGATCTCAAATCTAATGGAAGAAGAGTTATTCCCATTTTCATAAAGAGACACTTTATTGAATTGGGATATTTATATATATAATTAATACACAAGCGCATGCATATCAACTTAAATACACACATTTATTCATTTTTATACTTGTTTTGTTAGTGTCTAAACAAATAATAGACTTTCTTTATCAAACGAGTTTATTTCAATTTAATACATGTGTCCTTTTAAATTAGAATATCAAAACTTAAATAGAAAATATAGCTAAACAACAGGTAGAAGAAGATAAATTAATATCACACACACATTTATGTGTGTGTGTATATATATATATATAAAGTTACTCACTTACAAAGAAAATAATACTTTTGTTTTTCTCTTTTCAATTCAACGTACTTCTAGGCTATTTATCTTTTTATAAGGATATTTATTTTATTTATGCAAATGTATTACATATCTAATTATACACATATAAGTCAGATATTTCAAATATTAAAAATAAATTTTGTCATATGTGTACTTACCAAAGAATAAATAAATAGTTATCTTAAAATTCATCTCGCTTTAAAAAATCTTGATAAACTTCTTATAAGATGATCGATAAGAAGTAAATGTCAATGTTTGAAGATGGAGAAAATAGTTATAGATCATTTTTTTATGTTTATTGTACTAAACAGAAAATGTAATAACATGTCAATTTTGGAATATGTAAAAAATATATATTATGAATTTGAAAACTAAACATGCAAAATAAAAGTAAAAGAAATCTGGGTGTGGTAGAATATTTTTATAAAACTAATAAGGTTTCAAAGAGAAAGAGTTGGAGGCTAATAGAGGAAGCTTAATACATGTTGTACTTCGTAGTAATAAAAAACAACGTAGTACGGCTCGAGCCTGCGCCTCACCCTAAAGATTACTCATTCTTCTACCATCTGTGCAGCTCGAACTCTTGTTACAGAAACGGAGCGTGTAGTATTTAGTTATTTCCTAAGAAGGGGCTGAACATATACATATAGATATATATACACTATTACCTCCGGCGAACGGGGGGCGGCAGCACCTGCTCGCTCCCCCTGGTTCCGCCCCTGTGATACACTATACACTCCATTGTATCGGAAGAGTCCGTCTTGGGGATGTATGTTTTCACCTCACTCTTATCCCTCCCTACCCGCGACACCAAAAACATTTAAGGAAACGAAGGAAGCCGACAAAGTGGCACGCATCACACGACCAGACACTTTGTCATGATCATATCGTGCCATCATTCATTTTTTCATCAGTTTGTCATTGTCATTTTTTTATAATCATTATTTTTTTCATGGGGAGCCCACACCATGGTTATGAAACGAGCTTGGCTCTGATATTATGTTAAGATCGAAGGTTTCATCTAAAAGGTCGACTTGATAGAAATAGCCAATGTCTTAATATAACACTTTATTACTTCCCAATTTTTCGGTGTGGGACTAACAAAAAAATATTTTGTTTATGTTATGACAATAGTTTTGTCAGTGTCACTGACAATTCACTTCATAAAACGAAAAAAAATTGCAATTCCACAAACAAAATTGGGCGTGTTGAGCTGCAAATTAGTTTATTTGAAAAAATTGATACTCCCTCCGTCCCTCTAACTTTTTCTCGTTTTACCTTTTTCGTTCGTCCCATTAAGTTTCTCTCATACCATATTTGGTAATATTTGGGTGGTTACAATTCATTCTTACTTTATTCACACTTTAACAATTTAATACCAACCACACAATTCTACTTTTTCTTAAAAGTTGTGTCACACCTCTTTGTCCCAAACATAGTGGGACGGAGGTAGTATATGTTAAGTAAAGTGGATGACATGTTAGCAATTAAATAATGAGAGACCAAGTCCACCAATCATCCAAACGTGCAGATAGAGTTGTTCAACACAACTCCTATTTTGATGGAAGATGTGCAAATCAATAGCAAGGTTTGCAAAGGAATAGTGTTAGCGTATTAGCTAGATAAGGGCCTAGCCCATTGTAATTATTATTACTTTAATGTATAGTCAACTTGGGCTAAGGGCTCATAATGGTATAGGCATACGTGTATAAATTAATTCATATACTGATTAATGAGATTAAGAGGGAATTCGACCTTAATACTTTTTCACACATACGTACGCTTACCGATTCAGCATGGTATCAGAGCCAAATCGATCCATGGTGTGGACCCCTTATGAAAATGATTATAAAAAAACAATTACGGCCGCATGAAAAAAACGGACCGATGAAAAAAATGAATGATGGCACGATCCAGACGAAGTGTCTGGTCGTGAGGAGGGGTGTTAAATGTCCCACACCAAAAAAGTTTGGATGAACTAAATGCTATATTAACACATGGGCTACTCCTCTTATCAGGTTGACCTTTTAGGATGGAACCACGTGTCTTAGCATGGTATCAGAGCGTGTAAACGCATAGATCGAATTCATCTCTTCCTCGGCTTTCATCCTGCACCAGCGTGTACGGATCAGAAGATATGGTGGATATTACTTCACCCTATTACCTTAGCTCCGGTGATCAACCGAGAAATCTTATCACTCATATTATGTTTAAAGGTGATAATTATGTAGCTTGGTCTCGGGCTATACTATTATCACTCAAAGCTCGCCGGAAACATATGTTCGTGGACGGTACGCTTAAGAAACCAGCCGAAGAAGCGCAGCCATCCAACTGGGAAACGTCTAATTCCATGGTGGTGTCGTGGCTTCTCCGGAGTATGGAATCCTCGGTTGTGGCTTCTATACCATTCCATGAGGACGCCCAAGCCCTTTGGGTTTATTTGGAGAAAAGATACAGCGTGGCTAACGGTCCTAGACTGCAGCAGTTGAAAGCATCAATCTCAGCCTGCAAACAAACCAAAACAATGACGGTGGATGCCTATTATACGACGTTGATGAGTTTATATGATGAACTTGATCGACTAAAGCCACTGCCGGCGTGTTCGTGTGGCCGATGCACTTGTGATGTCGTTGGTAAAATTGCTGAAGAACGGGCAGAGGAACGGTTTCACCAATTCCTAATCGGAATTGACGACGACATATTTGGAACAGTGAGGTCTAATCTTCTTGCCCAAAATTCGTTGCCGACCATTAACCGTGCGCTGCAGGTTTTCCAGCAAGAGGAGACCTCGAGAGCTACAGTACAGGGGAAGCACTCTGGGGCAAACGTTCATGCGTTTGCTCTTCCAAACCCGCCTGAACGAACTGCCAAGGGGCGTGTGGACAAGGAGAATACTGAACGGACCCAACTGGTGTGTACGCACTGTCATCAAAAGGGACATGAAATTACCTCCTGTTTCAAACTCCATGGATACCCGGACTGGTGGGAGGATAGAAATCGCACTAAAGGCACCGCTACTGGCCGTGGAGGTGGAGTGCGAATGCACGCAGTGACACCGGCAGGTCCTCCGACTCTTCCATTGACGAGTGAGTCTTCTACGGATCAGAATTCGGGCGCTCATGGACTGTCCAATTTGACTCAAGAGCAGGTGCAGGCTATTTTAAGCTTAATAAATGCTGATTCTCGCTCGTCTGACCGGATGTCGGGTAAGTATTCATGTTTTGATTGGATCATTGATACCCGAGCTTCACAGCACGTTACAGGTGACGCAACATGTGTTACTGAAACCCGCCCGATTCTCGCTTGTTCGGATGGACTTCCGGATGGTCGCACAGTAAATGCGGTTTTGACTGGCCGAGTGACATTATCTAGAGAGCTGGTTCTTGATCAAGTTCTTTATGTGCCTGGACTTAATTGTCATCTTATTTCTGTGTCTCAGTTGACAGATCAGTCTAATTGCCTTGTCACCTTTACTAATAATTTTTGTGCTATACAGGACCTATGCTCGAGGAACCTGATTGGAGCAGGTGAACGACGGGATGGGCTCTTTTACTTTAGAGGGGTACCGACTTTGCATGCTGTTCAGACTTAAGTGCTCTCCTTGTTCGAGCTGTGGCATCGTAGAATGGGGCATCCTTCTGATCGGGTCCTAAAATTATTACCTATTTTTACTTCTAGTTCTCATTCGAAAGTTTTGAATAAAGCATGTGAAATTTGTCCCCAAGCCAAACAAGTGCGTGATTGTTTTCCAGCTAGTACTAATAAAGCAAGTAGAATTCTTGAACTTATTCACTGTGATTTGTGGGGGGCATATAAGACTCCATCAACGTGTGATGCTTGCTATTTTTTTACTATCGTGGATGATTTTTCCCGGGCTGTGTGGGTGTATTTGTTGCGTGATAAAAAGGAAATGCATCATTATTTTCTCTCATTTATTGCTATGGTTGAAAAACAGCATGAGGTATCTATTAAAATTATTCGTAGTGATAATGGGACTGAATTTAAATGCATGGAACCTTATTTTGACACTCAAGGCATTTTATTTCAAACTTCATGTGTCCATACACCCCAGCAGAATGGGAGAGTGGAGCGCAAACACAGACATATATTAAATGTTGCACGAGCCTTGATGTTTCAAGCCCATTTACATGTTTCTTTAATGGGTGAGTGTGTGCTTACCGCTGTGCATTTGATTAATCGTACCCCGTCTGGTATTTTGCATGGGAAGACTCCCTATGAACTTCTGCATGGCGTTTCCCCTACTTTCTCTCATATACGAGTGTTTGGATGTATGTGTTATGCTCATAATGCTTATTCTTGTGGCAACAAGTTCTCCCCACAGAGTCGGCGTGGCATGTTTGTTGGATATCCTTCGGGTAAAAAGGGGTGGAAAATATATGACTGGCTCACTGGCGAAATTTTTGTGTCGCGTGATGTAGTTTTTCATGAGGACAGATTTCCTTTTTCGTCTTCTTCTCTTGCGGCAGCGGATCCCCTTCAGCCAGAAAATATTACTAGCCCCGTAATTTTTTATGATGAGCCCGAGGTAGTCACCCAGGCAGTAGCAGAACCTCCACCATTCGCTAATGAACAAGCAGCAGCCAAAGCAAATCATTCTGCCAATGAACCTCTCGGTCGTGGTCATCGTTCTAGACATCCGTCGGTGCTGCTGAGGGATTTTGTTACTCATCATGTCCAAGGTTTGAGCCCATCCCCGTCTAGTGCCTCCTCCGTCTGTTCCTCAGGTACGTCGTATGCTATAGCTAACTTTCTAAAATGTGACAAGTTTTCTATCCGTTATCGGTCTTTTCTTGGAGCAATTCTTGCAGGGCATGAACCACGGTCTTTTAAAGAGGCCATGAGTAGTGTTGACTGGCGTGATGCCATGCAACGTGAAATACGGGCGTTGGAGGACAATCACACCTGGGTTATGGAACCGCTTCCGCCAGGTAAAAAGGCTCTTGGTTGCAAATGGGTGTACAAAATCAAGTACAACTCTGATGGCACCATTGAGCGTTTTAAGGCACGTCTTGTTGTGTTTGGAAATCATCAGCAAGAAGGCATTGACTATACTGAGACATTTGCTCCTGTCTCTAAAATGGTCATCGTTCGCATGTTTTTAGCTGTTGCCGCTGCTAAACATTGGGAGTTGCATCAAATGGATGTTCATAATGCATTTCTTCACGGGGACTTGGATGAGGAGGTCTATATGAGACCGCCTCCTGGATTTTGTTCTTCTCGGCCTGGTCAGGTTTGCCGCTTGAAGAAGTCATTGTATGGTCTCCGTCAGGCCCCACGATGCTGTTTTGCAAAATTAACTGCTTCGTTGAAGCAATATGGTTTTCAGCAGTCTTATTCTGAGTATTCTCTTTTCACTTTGCGCCAGGGCTCGACTCAATTATATATTCTCATTTATGTTAATGATTTAATTATTGCGGGAAATGATAGTGGTGCTATTTCTCACTTTAAATCTTATCTGCATAAATGTTTTCATATGAAAGATCTTGGTCTTCTCAAGTTTTTCCTGGGCATTGAAGTGGCTCGTGGTGATGATGGTATTTTCCTTTGTCAGCGGAAGTATACCCTGGACATTATTTCTGAGACCGGTCTTCTTGGGGCAAAACTTGCATCTTTTCCCATTGAACAGAATCATAATTTGGCTCTTTCTCAGAGCGAGTTGTTGACTGATCCCGAGTCCTATCGACGTCTTGTTGGGCGTCTCCTTTATCTCTCTTTTACACGTCCTGACCTTGCATATGCTGTTCATATTTTATCTCAGTTTATGCAGGCTCCTCGACAGGATCACTGGACAGCGGCCTTACAGGTAGTTCGCTATGTTAAAGGCACTCCTGGCCAGGGTATTCTTCTCAGTTCTACTTGTGATTTGACTCTTACAGGTTGGTGCGACTCTGACTGGGCTAGTTGTCCTCTTGCGCGTCGCTCTCTTACTGGTTGGCTAATATATTTGGGTAACTCACCTGTCTCGTGGAAAACCAAGAAGCAACATACTGTCTCTCGTTCCTCGACCGAGGCTGAGTATAGATCCATGGCAGCTATCATTGCGGAACTTAAATGGGCTAAGGGTCTTCTACTTAGTCTTGGCATTGATCATTCATCCTCTATGACCTTGCACTGTGATAGTCGTTCCGCCCTCCACATTGCTCATAATCCGGTGTTTCACGAACGTACTAAGCACATCGAGGTTGATTGTCATTATGTCCGTGATGCCATTCAAGCTGGACTGCTCGTTGCTCGTCATGTATCTACCACCGATCAACTCGCTGATATCTTCACTAAAGCACTGGGCAAACGACAGTTTCTTTACCTTCTTGGCAAGTTGGGCATTCTTGAACCTCATGCTCCAACTTGAGGAGGGGTGTTAGCGTATTAGCTAGATAAGGGCCTAGCCCATTGTAATTATTATTACTTTAATGTATAGTCAACTTGGGCTAAGGGCTCATAATGGTATAGGCATACGTGTATAAATTAAATCATATACTGATTAATGAGATTAAGGGAGAATTCGACCCTAATACTTTTTCACACATACGCACGCTTACCGATTCAACAAATAGGAAACAATTCTGGCAACTACTTATAATTAGCAAGAGAAAAGAATTCAAAAGGAGAAGATAAAGTCAAGTAACTACCAACCTAAATTGGAGGGGTATTGGAGCTTCTCAACTGCTAGAGCAACTAAATAATCACTAATGGGTTATAAAAGAGGAGGCTAGCCATTATCATAGAGGGGATACGTACCTTCAAGCTTGTATTGCAATTCAATTGCATTATGTATTAAAATATTCATTTTTGCTCCTTGATTATTTTTCTTACACTACCTCAATTCCTTATGCTTATACTCTTGAAATTATAATTAAGGAGTAGCTTTAGCTTGAACAACCTCTATTTTTTTCATTCTCATAGAGCACTATATTTCTTGTACATGGCTCAATTTATCTTTTTCCTTTATTTGATTGTTTGAATTAGCATAAAAATTGCTAAAACACCATGCATCTTGTCTGCAAGTTTGGTGTGTACACGAAGTACTGTTGTATTTGGATTCATTAACGATCAACTGATGTGGATAGCCTAAGCTCCTATTTAGGCCAGAATTGAGTTCATATCTAGCCCGATATACACAAAAAACATGAAATGAGACAACAGACAAAAGGTAGTCATGAGACGGCATGTTTATGTATAACTAATGATTGTGTTGTTGCTCTGACCTTAGGAATTGGGATAATGGGATTACGCACCCTTAGGCTTTGGCATGATGGATTCGTAAATAACAATTTGGTGATTGATATATTTTTTGTCCTGGTACATCCAAGAGAAAAGGGGGATGAAGTATAAAGAGAGAAACTAACCTTGCTGCAGCATTGAAACCAACAGATATCATGAACACCCATCCAAGAATTGTTGAACTGCATGCAATTTAAAAAAGCAAGGTTATCATTTTTTAAAGGAAATCGACTATATTGATATCATTAGAATCATGATCATTACATCAAATATAAACTCCAACTATCCTCTACCAACTACAGTTTTTAACCCTACGAATTTGCTTGAGTTTATATTTCAAATTCTGTTTTTATTTTAGTGGTCATATGTATTAAGACAAAAGGATTATAGTAAACATAGACATAGAAAATGTAAATAATAAAGTGAATAGAAAAAACACTGAACATGGTACATCTTTTAGCCAAACTTACCAAACGGCGAGAGAATCCAAAGCAACCTCGGGGTTAGGAAGCAAACCAGCAATCAAGACCAGAATCTGGAAGTACCATGTCTCCAAACACAACATCACAGCAGATGCAATGGAGAGCTTAAAGAAATCCCACAGCCCAGAAAATGCGCTAAGGCTGAACCCTCCCCACGTCTTCTCACACCGCTTGCTCAACAATATGTACACAAATTGTGCTACAACTATGATCCACCACGAAAAGCTTAGCACCAGAGCCGCGCCAAACAATCCCCACCCCAACACATACAACGCCACCCACGTGAGGAAGATGTGCAAAATTAACGTTACTCCTGAAACCACAATTAATTAAGTTATGCTATATACAAAAACTATCAGTTGACCTTTTAGAACACAACCTTAGTCATGAAATGGCTGAATTTATGAACTTTACACTATATACGAAAAAGTACTACACTATATCTTCCACTGTTGAATTTGGTCCTGGAAAAATTGAGCCTTAACAAGAACTTTTCTAAGCTTGATTTTGTTGTAGCATTTCAAACTAACCCTCTGTCACACAAATGTACTCTTTTTAAAGTATGGCATGTTAAAATAAAAAGATAACTTTATGCCCAGAGTAAATACAATTCTTAAGATTCTCAAAATTGTTCATAAAATATGGTCCTCCATTTGATCAAATTGAACAAAGCAAAGTCTTTAATACCTGATATATACGCGCTAGGATTTACAATGCTTTGGGACTGCAAGAATTTCTGTATCGGAAAATTTGCAGCGTAAGCAAAAATTTGTGGGATCAGACCATAGACGAAGAGGGCGGAGGCCGAAGCCACTGATTTGGACTCTCCTAATAAGACCAAGATTTGTTTGGAGAATAGATATGCCACTAAGAGGGGTAGTCCTGCCAACATGAGAAGAATGGTTGACCTTTGGAGATAAATTCCAAGCATTTCATACTTGTGCGCTCCATAGGCTTGTCCACATAGTGTCTCAACTGCACTTCCCATTCCAAGCTGTCCATGCATGGATTATATATATATATATATATAGTTAATATAATTATTTAAAAATGTTTTGCATGAGTCTAAATTATAATTAATCATATGGAGTAAAAAAAAATGTCAATTCAAGACTTAAACATAAAGTAATATAATTATTGATTAAGATCAAACATGAAAGATGAAAATTATTGAAATAAGGCATTAATGATTGAAAACTAATAATCAAGGACCAAAAATATATCTCTACAAATGGAGATTTTATTGCAGCTAAGAATGGTCCTCTTAGGTGTATCAGTCATCCACACACAGCGGAAGGATTATTGGCAGTGAAAGAAGCTCTCTTTTGGATGAAGAATGAAAACTAGAAACATATTGGTGTGGAGATAGATTGCCTTAATGTGTGTCATCTTATCAACTCTCCTACTCGGGATTTATCTTACACTGGTACTATTATTGCTAGTTGTCGGTCTTTAGCAAAACATCTCGATTCAATGTCTTTTCACTTTATTCATAGATCAGTGAATTTGTTGGCTCATAACTTGGATCGGTCAATGAATTCTCAAGCTTATATATATACATACTTCTTTATTTTCCATTCCTTCTTGTATCCAATTTTTTTCAATTAATATATCATTATTTTTGGCTAAAAAAGACCATAAATATACAAGTACTACCTTTATCCTTTTATATTGAGGCGGAAGAGGGTGGCACAATTATTAAGAAAAATTTATTTGTGTGGTTGATATTAATTGATAAAGTAAGAATAAAGTAAAAATGATTAAGAGTCACACAAACTTTATCAAATATGGTATGGGACAATTTTAGTGGGATTTCCCGAAAAGGTAAAACGGGACAATATAAGGGGGGCGGAGGGAGTATTAAATTTGTTGCTCATTTTTTAAATTTGTTTTCTTAATTTTTTTTAGTTTGTTGCTCACTTTTTATGATTTTTTCTTCAAAAAGTTATTAGTTTAACAAATTTAAATAAAAATTATAATATTCCAAATATAATAAAAAGTCAGGATGTTTAAAGTGAGTTTTTCCAAAAATAGTACTAATTAAAAAAATATTTATGAAACTGAGATCGAGTTAACAGCATTTCCTAATAAACTGAGATCGAGTTAACAGCATTTCCTAATATACTGCTGCGACGAACCACGATTAAAAGAATCAATAATTGAGTTGGCGGTTTAGGCAAACAAAAAAACCATGCTAACAGCCCAGGACAATAGACGAGAAAAACACTCCTAGGACCCACCTAAATAAAAAAATCCTACGATAGTATTTTTTATGTGTTATAACTTTTAATACCTTTTCTTCAGAAAAAGGACGAATTGCTTTAGTATGTAATCGCTTTTCTTTTTCTACGTCTCTTTTATGTATCGATCCATGTTAGTCGACTCTAAAATCTTTTGGGACTAAGGATTAGATGATGTTTCACTTGTATGTTTTAATGTTTGTTACAGTATTTGTTATTGACTAAATTTGCACTTCGATTGTTACAAAACATATACAAGTATAATAATTCACAACTTTTTATTATCTTTAATATGACACTAATATTGCACATATAAAAAATTAGTACTTTAAAAATTGTTTTATACGGAGTAAAGTGTTGTAACTTTTTTATTTTCACTCCAATTGTTACAACAACAAAACACTCAAAATTCATAATTTTTTGTTATCTTTCATATGACACTAATATTACATGTATAAAAGTAACACTTTAAAAAAATTGTTTTTTAAAAGAAATAATCCCTCTATCCCACTTAAAGTTGCACACTTTCATTTGAGTGTGAAATAAGAATAGTAAAAAATGCGTTGTTGATATTTGTGCAAGGGAGAAAGAAATGATGATAACCACAAATGCATTACTTTAAAAGAAAAATGACGATGTTTTATGGACCACCAAAAATAGAAAATTAGCAAAGTCTAATAAGACGGAGGGAGTATAACCTTTTTATTTATAATCTGAACAAAATTATTTTTCATATGACACCGATATTATCTATATATATATAATAAAAAGGTCGGGAGGTACAATTGTCGGAGAGTCAAATAGATTACTCTTTTTCTTAGTCAATAATCACAAGATATTTTGTGACGCGTTGTCAAATTGATCAACATTTTCATGATAAGTGGATTATTGGATAAAGAATGTTATTAACATTTTACCTATATATTAATCAAACAGAAAAAAATCTAGAGATTAATAGTGTGCACGGTAAAAAAAAACTAAATGAAATTGCAAAAATTTTAGCACAAAAAATAAAACAATGAATAAAAAGTGATAGCTTAGAAAATAATGGCAAGAATCTTCTCTCGCAGTCTCGTGCAAAGTCAATGAATAAAATGTTCCCTTATTGCAGAATGAAATTGTACCATACAATCATGTAATCTTAATTTCAATAAATGAATGTATTTAAAAAAGTTTGAGGCTAAAAATCTCTAAGAATTTTGATATATTTTTGTAACATTGGAGTACAAATAAAAAGAGTAATAGCACTCTTAAAAACAAAAGTTATTTTAAAGTGCTAAATTATTATTTTCATTTTCATATATTATTAGTGTCATATGAATGATAATAAAAAATAATAAGTTTTAATATATTTTTGAAAAAAATCAAAGTACAAATAAAAAAGTTACAGCACCCTAAAAAACAAAAGTATTTGGAAGTTCTAAATTACTTTTATTTCATATATGCAATTGCAACAATGGGTGTACATATAAAAACGTTACATTCTTGTAAAAAAAAGTTAGTCTTCTCAGACTGGTTTTTTTTTTGGAAATAATAGAAATTTTTATTTTGGCAGGACTCGTGTGCTTTTCTCCGCCGTTGTCTTGGGCCGCTAGCGTCCTTCTTTTTTGACTTAAGCAGCTACATCAAATGACAATTTTCTTCATTGCGATTCGCCTCAGCAGTAGTTTGTGAAACACGTACTTTTACCCCAACCCGAAATTGATAAATATTCTTTTATTTTGCATTACTTTGGAAAAACTCGTTTAAGTTCTTCGATTAAAAAAATTCGATCATTGAAGCCATATACAGATAATATTCTCTCTTAAATCATTGGTTGATAAAACATACGAGTACAAAGTATATCATTGAAATCTTTCGAAAAACCGGAAATAGAAGTATATCATTGAATTCTTTAAATATAAACCGGAATATAGGAAGCATATTCCAATGTTGTTGGTAAACTACAATTATTGAAATTACTATTCCAAAACAATAAGTCCGACTACGTGACAATGAGTGTCGTTTTGTACTCATGGGTAATGAGTAATTTATATGGTGGGCGTAGCTCAACTGATAGCGAAGGAGTGTCATAGTGTTTAGCTCCTCGGTTCGAATCATGACAATTGCGATAAGAGGTTACTCAACATAGGGTCTCTGTAAGTACCGGGTATCCGGACAACTGCGATGAGAGGTTACTCAACATAGGGTCTCTGTAAGTAACGGGATATGGAGCATCACTTTCTATCGCAGAGTAATTTATACTCCGTATACAATTCGGTCAATTTGTACTATTGCTCTACCATTTCCCTTTTTGATAATATTTGTATCCTTTAATTGACCAAGTATTTAATTGAATCATTAAATGCAAAATTGGTATCCATACTACATTCGTCCTATATTGGTATTCAATACGAAGTAAAGGAGTACAATATTAATATTACTCAATCATATGTATCTTAACCCCAATATTATTTGAAAACAAGTTTTAATTGCAAAGCAAAAATGGGACAATTTCTACCAAACTTTATCATGCCCTCATTAAGCATGAACCTAACTTGAACTACCAAAAACTCAACTTGGACCGAATGTAATAAACCTTATTCATGTTCCCTCTTTTCATAATCTGAAAATCTCACCCCTATTAATAACTTAACATAATACGGAGTATTGCATAAATTGAAGTATAGGCTTTAGAGTAATGAGTTAATACTTAAATCAATGAGAAAAAATCAGAAACCAAATCAGTATAGAGGTTATTTTTGTGAATTGGTTTGAAGAAAGATTGAACATACCATGACTCCATACGCCAAAAGTTGGATGCCATTATTGCCCAGAGAAGCAGCAGCAAGTTGGAGATTACCAAGATGCCCACAGAAAATCTGGGTAGACATGGAAGTAACATTGTTGAGCAAGTAAACAATGATGGCCGGAGCTGCCAGCCGGAAAAGATTTTTGAGCTCAACGGAGGTGGCCTTTTGTAGTCGCCGGTGTTTCGACACCCCTGTGTCCGACAGTGCGTCTTCTAGCTCTGAGCTTATGTGTTCACCCCCAGGGGCAGGGTGTTTCGAGGACTCCAACAGTGTATCGTGGAGCTCTTCATTATTGTTGTGTTTGGGAGTCCTGCTCATTTGTTCTCTTTTTAGCCCCCAAGTCGATCAAATGAGTATCAACTGCACCTCTTCTTCATTATATAATACTTCGTATATACTTGTTCTAAAAATCTCTCACATCAAAACCATTCCTACTGGTCCCATAGAGTATACGAGGATTTGTAAATCATGGTAAATCTCACATAGTGTGTGGCGCAAAAGAGTCCTTTAACATTGAGACGATAATCCACTATTTTAGAACTTTTTGTACTCCCTCCATCCCTAAATAAACTTCCAACTTTCCTTTTTCGTCCGTCCCAATTAAAACTTCCACTTTCCCTTTTTGGCCAGAATTTGTGGTTCACAGCAATTCTTACAGATTTCTCTCTCCTCTGCACAACTCTCCACCACACAATACCCACTATCTTAAACTCTGTGCCAAACCTATTTGGAAGTTTAATAAGGGACGGAGGTAGTATATTTTAATTTTGCATTGAATGTTAAATCTAAAGCCCGAATGGGCTTAATCTTTTGTAATTAATTTACTCCCTCCGTATCAAATTACTTGACCCACTTTCCTTTTATGGAGTATCAAATTAATTGACTCGATCATTTCCCTTTTTGGAAAGAATTCCACTCAAAAAGCAGCTACAGTACTGCTACAGTACCGCTACAGTGTCGCTACAGTACCAAAAACTTCTTACTTTTAATAAAGTCTACAGTAATTGTCTTAAACTGCGTAAAAAGCAAATGGGTCAATTAAATTGATACAGAGGGAGTATTAGTTAGTGGGCTAAGGGCTCTAGTTTGTTCATACGAAGTGTATATATATTACTCCTCCTCTTGTACATTGGACACACAAAAATATACAGAATTAATTCTCCATTATTTTTTTTTCCATATTCACTTTATTCCTTCCATTGTTAGCATGGTATCAGAGCCTTCCTAGGGCGAAGGAGCAGTTCGGAAATTCTGCCTGACCGTGCAGCACCAGCGTGCTCTGTGCGGCAGCTATGACGGATCCGACGTCTCCTTATTATCTCAGTTCGGGCGATCAACCCGGAAATCTCATAACTCATATTATTTTCAAAGGCGATAACTACGTGGCATGGTCTCGTGCCTTCTCCCTGTCCTTGAAGGCACGCCGGAAGTATGTCTTCATCGACGGCACGCTTACCAAACCGGAAGATGCAGCGGGACAAAGCAACTGGGAAACTGCCAACTCTATGGTAGTTTCGTGGTTGCTCCGAAGCATGGAACCATCAATTGCTTGCTCTATTCCATTCCATGAAGAAGCTCGGTCCCTGTGGCTTTATCTCGAAAAGCGGTTTTCTGTTGCTAACAGGCCTCGGTTGCAGCAACTCCGAGCCTCGATTACAACGTGCAGGCAGTCCAAGACCATGAGTGTTGATGCATACTACACGGCCCTCATGAGTCTCTATGATGAACTCAACAGATTAAAACCCCTACACGCGTGCACATGTGGCTGGTGCACGTGTGGTGTCGTTAAGAAATTTGCAGCCGATCGTGAAGAGGAACAACTACATCAATTTCTTATCGGAATTGATGACGAAGTATACGGCACGGTTCGGTCAAATCTTCTCTCCCAGTCCCGTTTCCGGACATCGATCGAGCCCATCATGCGTTTCTTCAGGAGGAAAATTCAAGGGCCATATCTCGTGGGAAGGCCGCGGTGACCGACGTCCAGGCCTTTGTAGTGCAGGCAGATCGTGCGGCTAAGGGACGTGTGGAAAAACAAGACCGAGCTCGCCCTATATGCTCACATTGTAAACAGAAAGGCCATGAAATCAGTTCGTGTTTCAAATTGCACGGATATCCCGATTGGTGGGAAGAGCGGAATAAAGCCAAAGGGACCGCAGGTGGGTCTGCCGGTGGGTCTGCCGGTGCACGTGCAGGGGGGCTCATACTCTGGCAGTACCTCGGCAGCAGCTAGCCAAAGTGACGGAGGTATTGCAAACAGGCTGGTTACGTTGAGCAATGAACAGGTTGAGGCCCTTTTAAATTTGATTAATGGAGAGACCCGCTCTTGTGACCGCATGTCTGGTAAGCGTATTTACCTTGATTGGATCCTTGATACCGGTGCATCACATCATGTTACGGGAAACCTTGATTGTCTAATTGAGCCTACTCGAATAAATGCATGTCCGGTCGGGCTTCCTGACGGACGGACAGTGGCGGCCTTAGTTCAAGGGCGTGTACCCTTGTCACAACATATTATTCTTGATCGAGTTCTGTTTGTGCCGGGACTGACTTGCCATCTTATATATGTCTCACAATTGATTGATCAAATGACTTGTGTTGTCACATTTACTAATGATCTTTGTGCTATACAGGACCTACACTCGAGGAGCCTGATTGGAGCCGGTGAGAGGCGAGATGGGCTCTTTTATTTCAGAGGTGTTCCTGTGATGCATGCTATTCAGACGTCATCTTAACCGGAGTTTGATTTATGGCATCGTCGTTTGGGTCACCCTTCTGACCGGGTTCTAAAATTATTACCTAGTATTATTTCTAGTTCTGCACCTAAGAAATTAAATAAAACCTGTGAGGTATGTCCACAGGCCAAACAAGTTCGGGACTCATTTCCCCTTAGTGAGAATAAAGATGGTAGAATTTTTGAACTAATTCATTGTGATTTGTGGGGACCATATCAAACCCCATCTACATGTGATGCTATTTACTTTCTTACTTTGGTTGATGATTTTTCGCGAGCTGTGTGGGTGTATTTGCTTCGTGATAAAACGGAGGTTTAAAAGTATTTCTTATTTTTCTTGGCTATGGTCGCAAAACAGTATGAGGTTTCTGTTAAAACTGTTCGAACTGATAATGGCACTGAATTTCGAGGGTTGAAGCCTCATTTTGATGCTAGTGGTATTTTATTTCAGACCTCATGTGTTTATACACCCCAGCAGAACGGGAGAGTGGAACGAAAACATCGTCACATACTGAATGTGGCACGGGCTTTGATGTTTCAGGCATATCTTCCCATACGCTTGTAGGGAGAATGTGTTCTGGCAGCAGTACATCTTATTAATCGCACGCCATCCGGATTGTTAGACGGGAAGACCCCATACGAGATACTTAATGGCAGGCCACCTGACTTTTCTCATCTTCGCGTGTTTGGATGCTTGTGTTTTGCCCACAATATCAAAAGTCGGGGAAATAAATTCTCTTCACGCAGCAGGCAGTGCGTTTTTGTTGGCTATCCACATGGTCAGAAAGGGTGGAAATTGTACGACTGGGACTCTGGTGAACTATTCGTCTCTCGTGATGTTAAGTTTCATGAAGACGAATTTCCTTTCTTACAATCCGAAGGCACACAATCTACAGTCTCTGAATCAGTGCATGTTCCTACGGGTCCTGTAATTCTTGATCCCGATCTGATTGTTCCCACGGCTGACACCACGACCAACATAGTGTCTACTATGGCCGAGCATCATTCTGACAACACCCAGGCCGATCCCACTCCTCTTGGCCGTGGCATGCGATCCAAGCGTACCTCTGTTCTCCTATGAGACTTCGTTACACATCACGTTCACTCATTGAGCCCATCTCCGTCTCCCTCCACTTCACTCAGCTCCTCAGGTACGCCCTATCCTCTCACTCATTATGTAAATTGTGACAAGTTTTCCTCTGGTTATCGTGGTTTTCTTAGAGCAATCATTGCAGGACAGGAACCTCAATCTTTCAGTGAGGCTATGACTGATCCTGGTTGGCGTCAAGCCATGCAAGATGAAATAACTGCCCTTGAGAACAATCATACATGGGTCATGGAACCACTCCCACCCGGTAAACGGGCGCTCGGGTGCAAATGGGTCTACAAAATCAAATATCATTCTGATGGATCTGTGGAACGCTTCAAAGCACGTCTTGTCGTGTTTGGTAACCATCAGACAGAGGGGATTGACTATAATGAGACATTTTCCCCCGTGGCGAAGATGGTCACTGTTCGTACTCTTTTAGCTGTTGTTGCCACGCAAAACTGGGCGTTACATCAAATGGATGTGCACAACGCTTTTCTTCATGGCGATCTGGACGAAGAGGTTTACATGAAACCTCCTCCCGGTTTCTTGTCCTCACGGCCAGGGTTGGTGTGTTGTCTGCGGAAATCCCTGTATGGTCTTCGACAGGCGCCCCGGTGTTGGTTTGCTAAGTTGACCGCTGCTTTGAAGAAATATGGGTTTTCTCAGTCCTATTCTGATTACTCCTTATTTTCTTTACACCATGGATCTGTTCACTTACATGTTTTGGTTTATGTGGATGATCTCATCATTGCTGGGAATGACTCATCTGCCATTGCTAAATTTAAATCCTATCTGAATGCTTGTTTTCACATGAAGGACCTGGGCTTGCTTAAATACTTTCTCGGTATTGAGGTGGCACGCAATTCTAAGGGTCTTTTTCTTTGCCAGCGTAAGTACACGTTGGATATTATCTCCGAGGCAGGCCTTCTTGGTGCCAAACCGGTTTATTTCCCTATGGAACAGAATCATTCCTTAGCTACTTCCACAAGTGCTATGCTCTCCGATCCGTAGATGTATCGACGGCTTGTTGGTCGTCTCATCTATCTATCTTTTACTCGGCCTGATCTTGCTTATGTGGTGCACATTTTATCTCAGTTTATGCAAGCTCCAAGACAAGATCATTGGAATGCCGCCTTACGCTGTGTTCGGTATCTTAAGGGTACCCCGGGTCAAGGCATACTTCTACGCTCGGCTGGAGAACCTACTCTTACAGGATGGTGTGACTCCGATTGGGCCAGCTGTCCACTTACTCGCCGCTCTCTCACTGGTTGGATTATTTTTTTGGGCGAGTCACCTATCTCCTGGAAAACTAAGAAACAACACACGGTCTCTCGTTCCTCTACCGAGGCCGAGTATCGGTCTATGGCTGCTATCATTGCCGAATTGAAATGGCTCAAAGGATTACTACTCACGTTGGGCATTGCTCACTCACACCCCTGCCTCTCTGGTGTGACAGTCGTTCAGCTCTTCATATTGCTCACAACCCAGTTTTCCATGAACGTACGAAACATATTGAAGTCGACTGTCACTATGTGCGCGATGCTATTCAAACAGGCCTGGTTTCCGCTCGCCATGTATCCACTACTGATCAGCTTGCCGACATTTTTACCAAGGCACTGGGGAAGAAACAGTTTCAGTATCTTCTCGGCAAGTTGGGCATCCTTGACCCGCATGCTCCAACTTGAGGGGGGTGTTAAATCTAAAGCCCGAATGGGCTTAATCTTTTGTAATTAATTTATTAGTTAGTGGGCTAAGGGCTCTAGTTTGTTCATACGAAGTGTATATATATTACTCCTCCTCTTGTACATTGGACATACAAAAATATACAGAATTAATTCTCCATTATTTTTCTTCCATATTCAGTTTATTCCTTCCATTGTTAGCATTGAATAATTTCTATTTAAGAAATAACTATATATTTTAAAAAATCTAGATCCTAACTATCAAATCTTCAATTTTTTTTCTTTTATAAACGGAGTGCATAATATTGGTATTATATGTGAAAGGTTTTAAAACGTACAATGAGTAAATATTGTAGTACAAATTTATAACAATTTATAAAACTAATTAATCCACCCTAGACCCTACTCACTGCATTTCTTCTCTTTTGTCCTGCACTCGCCCTTTCCCTTTCCCTGAGTTTGTTTTGCCCTTGTAGGGAGTGGATTCTCCGTCTATATTTGGGTGCATTTACCTGGCTTTCTGTGTAAATGGTTGCAATCAATGTCCTAAAAATCGCTCTATGCGTCGGAATAGTTCCCACCTAAGCGCTTGACAGTGGTCACGGTCCCGATTTTGTCTAGACGTTCCGACTAATTAGTTTGGCGCTTATGTGCATTAGTCGCCCGCCTAAGGCACCTAATTACCCGCCCAAAGCGCCTAACCGCCGCCTAGGACGTATAGATTTGCCGAACAATTTTTACTTTTAAATGTTCTCATTTCAAAAAATATGTGTGTCTTTAACTTTAATCACGAATATGAACAAAAAAACATGTAAATTAAAATAAAAGCTATATATGCTTGTATATACACTTAATTTTTACGAAGTAATATTATATAATATGTATAATATAATGCAGTGAAGTGATTAGTTAGCAAATACGGAGTATTATTAAATGTGACAATTCTATCATTCATGCATGTTGGTGTGTACATATTTTTTCCCACACACAAACACAATACTACCATTTCACACCACTATACTTTTCATATACTCCCTCCGTCCCAATTTGTAAGATACATTTCGGTTTGCGATGTTTGACTGACAATAAAGCAAATTGATCCCTGTCAACACCCAAATTAGTTCTAGAAAATAAAATTTACATATTCAAAAACTACATTAAATCCGCTACAAAACCTGCAAAAAATAATTCAAACTTCATAAACTTTTGATATATAAAATAAAAGTTTATGAGTGATTTATGTTGACCAAGTGAATAGTAAATGTATCTTACAATTTGGGACTGAGGGAGTAGATAGTAATCATAAATATGCAAAAAAGTTGATAAAAGTACAATTTATGTGTCTTTGACTAGCCCTCGTCTAGACGCCCGCCTAGTCATCTAAGCGTTAGACACGAGTTCTATTTTGTTCACCCCTTCATGGAGGGTGAACATCACCTCCTCCCTCCAACACATGACACTTGGCATTACAATTGCAAAATTTAAAAGTCTTGCCAATTAAGTGTCATGTGTTGGAGGGAGGGGATGATGTGCAGGGTGAACATCATGATCCCCTCCCTCCAACACATGACACTTGGCAAGACTTTTAAATTTTGCAATTGTAATGCCAAGTGTCATGTGTTGGATGAGTACGTATATCATACAACCGGCTATACGGTGAGCACCGTACAGCCGGCCCAGTAACAGGCCCAAGGTAAAAATAACAAAATAATTCGGTGGCATTTTTGTAATAATGTGAAAATCGCGGTTTCTGCTAAATGAGCACTAGTGTACTTTTAATGAGCAATAGTCCAATTTTAATGAGTATTAAGCGTCCAATAATGAGCTCCGTGTTATTACAAAAAAGCTGATATCACAACTAAAAACGGTGGCATTTTCGTAATTTTAGTGAAAATCGCGGTTTTCGTTAGATGAGCATTAATACACTTTTAATGAGCATCAAACGTGTTATACTGAGCATTTAGAGTCAAATAATGAGTATTGTGATATCAACTTCATATATTATAATTCATTTTCTTTTCCTTATTTTTTCTTTTATAAAAACTCATTAAATTATATCTATAATCAATTCCTATGAATTTCAATATGTGAATCTAATGTAATATGGTACTTTTGAAATATGCAATGTCTTGACATTTTAAAAATGAGCACATCCGTACCAACTGAGCATATGTAACGTACAAATGAACATTGATATGAAAATTGTAAGTTTTGTTAGTTGAGCATCAAACACCCTCTATTCAGTATTCAGATCATGCAATTGAGTATAATGATCTGTGCTCTCGGGTCTATAATTGAATCCTATTATGATCATTTCGGTCTATTGAGTATTCAGATACCCAATGAGCATAACACCAGTACAAAATGATTATACATTACTTACCAAATGAGCAATGATATGAAAAACATAAGCTTTGTTTGTTGAGAATCAAGACATTTTCATTGTACATCAAAACTCCTTTATTGAGTAGTATAAGCATGCAATTGAGTATCATGATCTCTACTTTCGTGTCTATAATCAACTCTGATGCAAATTTAAGATGCATAGATATAACATTTTAAAGTGAACATAATATTAATACACAATGAGCATACATTACTTACCAAATAAGCTTTGTTAGTTGAATATCAAAACATCTTATTGAACATCAAACATTCTCTATTGAGTATCAGAAGCATGCAATTGAGTATCACGATCTCTGCTCCCATGTATATAAATATGATACTTTTAAAATATGCATTAATATGACATTTTAAAATGAGCATAAAACCAATGTCAAATGAACATATATGGTTTACAAAATGAGCATAAAAATTCAAATCTCATTTGAATTCTCTAATGTGTTCAAATATTCATTTATGCACATATAATCACAAATATAGTAATTTTATGTTAAAATAATATAGTCTTTCGTTCTCGAAATACAAATATAATTGGGATTGGGTTGTTTTTATAATGTTTACCCAAGCATGTTTATTTTTCACTATACTCATTTTAATATAACACATAACTCATGTTAGTAACTAACACATAATATTTAATAAACTAATAAATATTGATTGTAAATTAAAATAGAAAAATAAAACATTAATACCTAAAATATGTTATAATACAGAAATAAAAAAAAATAAAAGTTTGATTGGAAAAAGAAAAAGATTGAGACACTTCATAATAATTGAAAATAAAATTAAAGTTGATGTTGCTAAGAAAAAAAGCAGAAAGAGAACAAACAATTAAAAAGCAATAAACGAAAAGGAGTAAAAAACAGGAAATCAGCATGCGACAGAAATCAGGTGGAGTAGTGCATGCGGCCCAGGTGGAGTTAGAAACGATCAAGAAAACCCGACGGAGTACTGCATGCGGCGGAAATCAGTGCCTAGGTTGATACATACTGCAGCGGACAAAAGAAGTAAAAAACAACTAACATATCTATTGCCCTCAAAGTTGAAACTAATTTAAAAAAAACCCGGCTGTACCATGCCTTAGATACAGCCGGCTGTATAATATAATTTACCGTATTGGAGGGAGGGGGTGATGTTAAAAAAAACTTTTATTTAAATTATATTTGTAATTAAAATTATATTTATAATAAGGTTAATTATAATTATAGAAATATTCAAATCAAATCAGATCAGAAAGATTCAGATCAGATCAGAAGGATTCAGATCAGATCAGAAACATTCAGATCAGATCAGACCAGATCAGAAAGATTCAGATCAGATCAGATCGGATCAGAAAGATTCAGATCAGATCAGATCAGATCAGAAAAATTCAAATCTGATCAGAACATAAAAAATTCAAATCAGAAATATTTTCAAAACTTGGGAAGGAGTGAACAAAATATAACTCGTTAGGCACTGGACTGTCATGCCACTCACGCCTAGCAGTCTAGCACCTTTGGAGCAGTAACAATTGGTGTTAGGCTGATTGCAACCCAGAATTGAAAAAGCCAAATTCATTCTATTCACCCAAAAAAGCTTGGCAACCCATGTATTGTTGGGTGCAAAAGTGGGTGCATGGCACCACTTGGGAAAAATTGGGTGGGTACATTGACCCACCATTTCCACTAGCCGCAAGAAAAAAGCAGGAAGTAGGCAATTTGCAGCTTAGCAGGTCCCATAAGTCAACAACATGTTGGAGGAGTTTTACATGGTTCAAATGAAGTCGTGCTGCAGACTCGCTGGAATGCGCCTGAATTTTATCGTTAGTATTTAAATTGAAGAAGTTGTGTTTCAATTTATTCATCTTTATATTCTACAAGTACCTACTATTAAAATTATAAAAATAAATAGAACAGTAATATAGTAAATAACCTAATATTGTATATAGTAGTACAATTTTTTATTGGAAACTCCAATTTATTTGAAATTAAGCTCAAATTTTAATACTTGCGAAAAAAATATTTTTTTACATCGAAATGTTTGAATTTTTAAATCATTATGATTAGTAAAAAAAAATTTGTCATATGATTGATGTGTGATAATAAAAGTAAGAATGTATACGTTTCTTAAAAAAAATGTGCTGGGTGAATATATTGACAGTGCTGGATTGCAGAGAAAAATTGATTGACTGAGTGAATACGTATAAAAAGGTGGCAAATTTGATTTATTGACTCTAGTGGGTTGCGGTCAGCCTTACGGAGTGGGGAGAGACTTCTCGATTGAAAGATCTGAAATAATTGGCCGCCTCACAAATTTCATGTGTGGGGTCCTTGTCACTATGAAAAATTTGCATTTGTTAATGTGCATAGCCTGAATTGTGGTTGGATCCATTGTCCGTATCAATTAAAAGTCGTGTGTCGCTGCCAACTGTAATTGTTGGGGAAATCCTTGAGAATGAGGGACCGGGTGGCTGTGGCGATGGAATATTTCTGATTTGAATTTTTTATGTTTTGATCTGATCTGAATTTTTCTGATCTGATCAGATCAGATCTGAATCTTTGTGATCTGATCTGATCTGAATCTTTCTGATCTGATCTGAATCTTTCTGATCTAGTCTGATCTGATCTGAATGTTTCTAATCTGATCTGAATCCTTCTGATATAATTTGAATATTTCTGATCTGATCTGATTCTTTCTGATATGATTTGATTTGAATATTTCTATAATTATAATTAACCTTATTATAAATATAATTTTAATTACAAATATAATTTAAATAAAA